CCGAGGCCAGACCTAGAAAGTAGGGGCTGGAGTCCTGGCTCTAGCATGCCCATCTGTTCCGGAGGCCTGCCTCCTGGGCAGGATGCAGCACGTGGCTCCCCACCCCTGGCCAGCAGGGCCACGAAGCCTTGCCTGGTCACAGTTGTCTGAAATCCTAAGCCCTGGGGGGCTGGAGGGGCGGGGAGGGGGTCAGGGCGAAGTGCTGCAGGTGAAGCCTCGCCAGGAGGGAGAAGCTGTTCTTCATCACAGGTGGTCACCGACAGCAGGACTTTCAGCCTGAGAGGGGTAACATTTGAGACGGATCACGCCCCATGCCCTGCTGTCCACGTCTTCCCAGGGAGCTGGGGGACAGGTCTGAGCTGGTGTGGCTCTGACCTCCTCTTGCCCTTGAGAACTGAGCTCGCTGTTGGCAGATGTGTTCTCTCAGCAGCCCCAAGACACCCTTTCTGTCTCTGGCTTCCCGCCCCTTTGGTCCTGACCGAGTCCTGGGAAAGGCCGTCTGCCTCCTCCCTCTGGCTGCTGTAGGATCTCGGCTTTGGCTCTGCTGTCCTGCAATTTCACTGCAATGTGTCTGTGTGGAGGTTGCTGTTTGTCTGTCCTGCTGAGGCTTCATCAGGACGCTGTGTTTTCGTTATTTTGGGAAAGTGTCCATTACTTTGCACACTGCCTCCTCTCCGGCCTGAGAGTGTAAGCCGTTCTCATGCTCCCTCCCGTGCTTAATTGCCCACATCGTCTTTCTCTTTATTCCCTGATCTATATTCTACTTAATTTCATCAAACCCACCTTCCTGGTCATCAGCTTTCTCTTCAGGTGTCCAATCTGTTAAACTTGCCTACTAGGCTTCCATTCCAAATATTGTATTTTTCACCCTTAAGTGTTCCGGTGAGTTCTTTCGCAAATATCTTGCTCTTTCCTCCTGTTTTCCAGCCTGCCATGCATATGCTGGTGTCTTGTAGCCTGTGTGTGATGTCTCGTATCTGAAGTCTAAGGTCTGCCTCCACTGTTCCTGCCACCACTCCATGTGCTTTGTGCCTTGTGTCTTTGGTGATGTCTTCATTTTGTTTTGTTTTTTAAAGTGGGAGCTGCTTATTTCCCTCTGAATCTTGTGAAAACTCTTTGACACCTGGGATGAATGTGGTATCTTTTAGAGAGCATTTTTATTTGCTTCTGACAGGTGCTTACAGCTTCTGACGGTCTTTGGGACCACATTGAAGTTAATTTTCAGCTTCAGTTTTCTGAAAGCACTCAGTTATGCAAACGCAGGCTGAAAACTGGACAAATGCTGTCTGGCCCACAGGGAAGGCAGTTTTCCCTCCTGTCTTAGTGCACCCAGGCTGCCATAACAAACCCCACAGACGGGGGGCTTATAAACGCATTAATTTCTCACAGTTCTGGAGGCTGGAAGTCTGAGATCAAGGTGCTGGCCGATTCGGTTACTGGTGAGGGCCCCTTCCTGGATCTCAAACCTTCTCAGGATAACTTCACGTGGCAGAGGGGCGGGAAGCTCTCTGGGCCCCGTTAGAAGGACACTAACCCCATTATGAGAGCCCCTCTCATGGCCTCATCACCTCCCAAAGCTCCCCCTCTGACATCAACACGGTGGGGTTGGGAGTTCAATATATGAATTGGGGGATACAAGCATTTGTGTGTGCATGTGTGTGTGTGCGTGTGTGTGTACTAGTTCACCCTCACGTTTACTCACCTCTAGCACACCTTACACAGAGTGCCACTGCGGGGTATCACTTCTCTGTGTGACTAGATTCCCCCGGTGGGTGGCCTCTGGGCTTTACTCTCTCTCCCCTGATCCCCTGAGGTCAAGGAAATGTGTTGAAGTTGCTCCATTTGGCAAAAGCTGCCTACGTACCTCTGACTTTATCGGTTTCTGGCCTGCATGTTCCTCACCACGTGGGCCAGCCCAGCCTCCAGTTCAGGACTTGTGAAGTGTGGAATCTGAAGGATGTAGGTGTAGTCACTGCAAAGGCTGGTCCGAACAGCCGCTCCTGCACTTACCAGGCAAGCAGCTTATTCCACACATACAGAGGACCCTGTGCCAGGCACTGAGGGGCACCCCTACACAAGACACCCAGCAAAGTGTTTGGGCCAATGAGGGGAGCTGGGTGGGACGTGGGGTCAGGGCAGGGGATCAGCAAAGGCTTTTCCTGAAGGAAAAGGGCCAGGCCACACACCTGGACATCTTAGGAGCCCTCCCAGAGTAAAAGCCACCCTCCACTCTGGAGAAGGGGGCAGACCCTGTACCCTGCTGTACCCTGGGGGCGGGGGGGACACTGCACACGAGCTGAGGGCTGCAGAAGTGCCTCCCACTCCAGAGGGCCAGGCTGAGTGGGTCCTGACCTGGGTAGAAGCTGGGTGTGGTCACCCTCACAGGTCCTCTGGGGATGGCAGATTGCATTATTGTGAAAGATGAGACCATTGGGCTGCAGGACGGTTTGGGGTGTAGGGTCTGGCCAGTGTGACAGCTAGAGGAACGGGTCGCAGGGCTTCTCAATTCCCAGGCCTGGGCCTGCACCTGAGGTGGGCACGGGCCCCTTCCTTTCAGACCCGGTGTTCACACCTTGGGGTACAGCCCCAGGACTTCCTCCTCCTGTGGAGACAGGTGACAGCGCTCCGAACACAGGTGGCTGAGCTTCGATCTGCCTCTGAGAGGTGAGCCAGCTGCCCCACATCTGATGGTGGCCCAGGTATTGGGCCCTCCAAGCTGCTCCCATGGAGGAGCTGTCCCGGCTCACAAGCCACTGCCCCAGCCCTGCTGGGCCTCAGGGTCCCTGTGGGGTGGAGGGTGGTAGGGTTGAGAAACACTAAAGCACAGAGGGAGGGAAGGGGTGCAGGACAGAGATGATGGAAGGGGAGGAGCTACACGGTACAATTTACAGTTCCTCTAGTCCTTGCCAGGCACCTCTTGGGTCTGCCCTGGATTATTGAGGGACCTGTCAGCCCCTCATCTGCACACAAGGAAACTGGGCTCAGAGAGTCCACGTCCTCTGTGGCCTTGCTGAGCCCTTGCTCACCCCTCTCTGGCTGTGACATGGGACCGTTGGTAATACACAGTAGAGGACTCTCCTGAGAATGGGGGTGGGGGAGGGTAAGGGGGTCTGCTGAGGGCAGAGAGCAGGACCCATGTGACCATACCCTGCCCCTCCTAGCCAGTGGGACACCTTCAGGGCCCTGAGCCCACAGCTGGCCCTGAGGTTCAGCTGGGGGTGCTGCCTTGTCCGTAGGAGTCTCACTGACATGCAAGCAGAGGCAGCCAGGACAGCCCGGCGCCTGCACACGGCCTGCCTGAACCTCAACTCCAACCTGCAGCTGTCGGCCAGCAGCTCAGCAGGCGCCCTGGAGCGGCAGGCCTTGCAGGGTGCTTGGCTGGAGCAGCAGCTGCGGGACAAGGTGCGGGAGATGCTGCAGCTGCAGGGCCGCTGGGACACAGAGAAGGTGGCACTGCAGGCCAGGTGGGTGCCTGAGAGGGCTATCGCACAGCGGAGGTCAGGGTGGGGGCACCCTGCGCCCCCTTCCTATCTGTCCTGCAGCCAGAGTTCCAAGTGATAGGCAGTTCTTATTCCAGCTGCCACATGACATTCCCACGGGTAGGCAAGCCCAAACTCCTTCCAGCCCTGCAGGCCAGTTAAAGCTCCCCATCTTGGAGGGTCTCCGTGGACACTGCATTAGACACACGTGGACTGTCCTTGGGGCTAAAGGCACATCCTTCAGGAGCAGGCGCTTGCTTTGGGGTCAACTGTTTGAGAAGCAGAGCAGGCAGTGGGCCGGGCCCATCTGGGGTCCATGAGCCTCAGAGGAAGCATGGGATGTTCTGCACACAGAACCCGCATCGGGGGCTTGAAGTATGTTTCCTTCAGCAGAAAACAGGGAAAATAGCTCCCCACTGAAGGCCACAGGGTACAATTCCACAGAATCTGGGTGCCTGGGACTCACATGGCCACAGACACCCTGCCGGCTGACAGGATGGGGCCCGCCCTGCCCTCAGGGGAACAGGAGTTCATGGGGTGCGGGTAGTCCTGTACATCCTACAGGGCAGCACTCATGGCCCCCATACTCAGAGCAGAGTACTCTGGGGTCATAGGAAAGGAGATCCAGGTGCCATGGTGAGTCAGGAGAAGAAGGTGGGTCCTGGGAAGGCACAATAACATCTTCACTCACTGTTAGACTTGTGGTGGCAGAGGTAGTCCAGGCAGGGCAGTGGTGGGCAAAGGCCCCCAATGAGCACTGCATCTGCTGGCCCCAAGGGCAGGGCAGGGCCTCAGAAGCTGAGTTAGGGTCAGCCTGGGCCCTTGGATCCTGACCTTGGGGGTCTGTGCTTTACTCTCAAGACAGTGGGAGCCATTGAAGGTTCTAAAGTAGCAGAGAGGTGTCTGACCAGACCAGGGACTGAGGTCCACTCAGACAGATGTGGCCAATGCCTGAGGCCCGGCCACACCACAGGAGGAGTCTGATTCAGCCAGGGAGTCTTCAGGGCCCACCCGTGCCCTGGGCTCTGGGCTCTGTGCTGACCACCCTGCCCCTGGCTTTTCTGCAGACTCTCTGAGCAGAAATTGCTGGTGGAGAGGCTCACAGAGCAAAACTCGGAGAAGGAAAGAACCATTTCTTCCCTCAGAATGGATGTTCAGAGACTAGTGCGTGGGGCTGAGGACGTGGTGGGGTGTGGGGGCTCTGGGGCCGGAGCGTCAGCCGCCCTGCTAAGGGGTCTGCCTGGGCACAGGAGTCCTGGCGCAGTGGAGACCAGCTGGCGGCAGACAACCTGAAGGAGGAAGTGAAGTCCCTGCGGCGTGTTTTGAACATCATCACAGAGGTGCAGGCCATCTTGGGTCCCGGGGGGTCCAGCTGATATGTGGGATAATCTGGGAGGTCCCCACTGGACATGGCCCTGAGTGCTCTCCCCACACTGTGAAGGTGGCCCAGGCAGACTCGAGGTGCCCAGAGCTGGCACAGAGCAGCAGCACTGACAGGGAGAAGGCACAGAGACCACTGAGGAGCCCTCCACGCACCTCGTCCCTTCACTGGGGTGCATCTCCACCACGAGCCCACTCCCGGGCCAGCCCAGACCCTGCACTGCGGGCTGTGCAGGCAGCTATTGAGAGGAGACGGCAGCAGGAGCAGGTGGGCAGCCACCAGCGCTGTACCCTTGGCCCCACGGGGATGTTAAACCCATGGGGCTGGCAGGTGTTGCTATAGGACCTGCCCCTGAGACCCACAGCCCCAGGGAGGGGTCTCTGCCCTAGGTGCATCCTTTCTGGGGGGTCTGTGGTCAAAGGCCTGGCAAGGCCAGAGGGAGCTCACGCTACCTCCCCCCACCCCACCCCGAGCAGGAGCTGCGTCTACAGCTGAAGTCCTCCCAGGTGGTGGCAGCCAGGCTCCGGGAGCAGCTGTCAGAGAGGCAGCGGGAGCTGCGAGCCTCCCGGAGGCTCCTGCAGGAGCGAGAGCAGGAGCGGGGGGACCTCCTGGACAGGCTGGAGGCACAGAGCCAGAAGGCACAGCACTGCAGGGCAGCCAGCGAGCTCCTGGGAAGGTGGCTGGCCTGAGGGCTGGGCAGGGCGGGTGAGCTGTCTGGGTCCAGGTTGGACAGAGCAGGCCTTCCCAGCTTGGGGGCGCTTCCCCCACAAACCTTCCACATAGGAGGGAGTGGGCCATGATTCCTGAGGACAGGTGGGCCCCTCAGCATGGAGGGAACATGGCCAGAATTAAGGGGCATTTGGGAAATGGAGACCTCGGGGGCCAGGGCCAGGGGGTACAGCTGAGGTTCAGGTCCCTGGCGGAAGGGTGACATGCGGCAAGGACTCTGAGTGGGTCAGTGTTGAGCACAGCCTCACACAGGAAGCTGGATCTGGAGGGCCTAAGGCCCTGTCAGGACAGGTGAGCAGTACAAGCAGATGTGGAGCTGGGAAGGTGCAGGTGGAGAGATGTCTCTTCCATCCAGCAAGTTCTGCAAGGACTGGTGGAGCCGGGCCTGTGGGTGGCAGAGGGCTGAGCACAGGGCTGCACCAGGAGCCTTTGCGTTTTAAGGACTCCCAAGGGCCACCAGGAGGGGACAAGCTACTGGCCACCCCACCTTGCAGGCTGTCCTGGGGCTGGAGATTGCTGGATCTGCCTCGTCCCTCCCCACACTTCCCTGAGCTCCTGCCCCCAGGGGCCCTCATGCCTGGCGCCCACCCTGCCCTGCACATCCTCCTGGCAGTGGGCTGAGGCCGGAATGTACCCCGTGTGGGTCTCCCAGCTCCCCTCCTCCAAGGCTGCCCCAACCTTGGCCTCCCCTGCTCCCAGAGAGAAGAAGGCTCTGGAGTTGGAGGTGGAGGAGCTAAGGGGCAAGATGGATGTTTGGGACATGGACAAGCAGAAGCGGGAGGCCGAGAACGCTGAGCTGCAGAGAAGCCTCCTGCTCTGGACACAGCAGAAGGAAGAGCTGGAGCAGCAGGGCGAGCGGGGCCGCAGGGAGCTGCAGACCAGGTGGGCCTCAGCGTCCTCATCCACTAAGGGGACCGCTTCCTTAGCAACCTTGTTTCCGGGAGTGGGGGCACCCACCGGACAGTGGGGGTGACAGGCTCTCCAGGCTTCCTGCAGGCTGAGCCATCGCCCCAACACCCACCCAACACCTGCCCAGTGCCTGCCCCAGGAAATCCACCACCTCGGGCCCAGGAGAGGGGGTGCCCCCAGCATGTGTGCACCCAGGTGAGTCTACTGAGGCATGGACAGAACCCCACCCCCAGCTGGGGAACAGGGTCCTGGTTCGGATGCCACCCTGTGGACTCACCAAGTTCAGGCCTCCAGAGTGACCTGGGCTCCTCTGGGGCTCCCTGGGCTTGGAGGAAGTTGCAGGCGGCCACCCTGCCTGCTAGGTCCTGTGAGGTGGCCTATCTTGCCTTGAGCCAGCCTCACACCCTCTACCTCTGATTTGGGGACCTTAGTCAAGGGCGCCTGGAGCAGCTGGAGGAGAAGGTCTCGGGGCTCAAGAAGGAGCTGGTGTCGGCCCGGAAGGCACTGAATGCAGCCCGGCTACAGAGGGACGTTCTGGAGAGTGAGAGGGAGGCCCTGCATGGCACGCTGGCTCGGGTATGCCTCTGTCTCTCCCACCAGGCCATCCTTCACTTCAGCACTCCTTTAGTGCTCAGGGGCTGCTGTTTACCCGGAAGGCCTCCTCACTGTGGGATTCCCTTCCCACACCCATCCTACCCAGACCTCCGGCTTGCACACCTCCATGACGAGGGGCTCACTCCTTCCCTGGCACCAACAGCTCTGCCAGGGAGAAAGTTCCTCCTGTGAATCTGAAAGTCCCTCCTTGGCATCCCCCCTCAGGGTGACCACTACCCTCCCTCCCCACCCCCGCAACCCTAGGCTGAGTCCAGCAATGCTGACCTGGAATTGCTTGTGAGCCGGCTGAAGTCAGAGGGGGAGCAGCAAAGGGACTCCCTGGCCAAGATGGCCACCCTGATGGAGGGCCTGGCGAAGGACAAAGGCAGCCTGACCCACCAGGTCCTGCAGGTGAGACGAGGGCCATGTGAGCAGCCCTTCCCCTGAGCCTCACATTCCCCAGGGTGGCCATGAGACTCGGTCCCAGCTCTGATCTCTGAGCCTAAAACCCTCCCTGCACCCATCTCCCCTCACCTCTTCCATTCCTGGACTGAGCACAGGTGGGTGGAGAAGAGGCCCACATAGGGACAGTGGGCCTGGACAGTGGGCCTGTGGAGGGAAGGCCACACACACCTAGGCAGTCCAGGGAGAGATGGTCAGCCCGTGGAGGCACAGGTGTGTGGGGCATGGCCTGGATGCCGACACCCCCCCCGCCCCCCCGCCGCAGCTGCAACAGGATGGGGACCGGCTGCGGGAGCAGGAGCAAGTGCTGAGGCAGGAGCGGGCAGACGCCAGGGAGCGGTTGGCATTGGCAGAGCAGCAGCTGGAGCAGCTGGAGGGGCAGGCAGACCGGCTCCAGCGTGAGAGAGCCCAATTGCAGGAGCAGGTGGGTCAGGTGAGAGGTCTGCAGGGGCTCCTGGCTCTGGCCCCACCCTGCAGGGCCACCCTTTCCCTCTGTGGTGTGGACAGCTCACAGGTCACCTCTCCACGTCACACTGGCCCAGGCTGTCAGCACCGGTGCTTTCTGACTGCAGTGCTGGCTGACTTGGCTGCATTCAAAGGCAGGTTCCCTGTGGTGGGGGGAGAGGACAGGGGGTGGGTATGCAAAGAACCTTTACATCACACCTGCCACCAATCCCGGGGGCTGAGTTCTGCCCCTCATTAGGGGTCAGAGGCCCAGTGATTCTGCACACTCAGGGCTTTTTTCTGTATGTTGTTGCCTTTCGTCCGCAGCTGGACTCACCTATTCACTCGGTCACTGATTCCCGGGTCTTCTATTGGCATAAATCTTGTGCTGAGAAGGAGGCCACACTCAGGGGGTAGTTACATTGAAGCAATTTTGCTATTTTCGGGGCTCCCTGTGGCATTCAGACTCCATGGTCCCTGTCACCTACCTTTGGGACTCAGCGCAGCCTCTTTTGGCTTCTGAGACTCTGTCGTGTCCCTTTTTCAGTCATTGGTTTCCTCTATATTTAATTACACGGTTATATCCAATATGCCAGTGTACAGTTCAGTGAGGTTTGACAGCTCCATGCACCTGGGTAACCACCACTGAGACCAAGATGTAGACCTGCTCCACCAGCCCAAGCCCATTTCCTCATGCTCCTCCAGGCACCCCACCCCGGGCAGCCTCTGCTCTGCCACGTACCACCAAGACTGGTGTCGCCAGTTTTAGAGCTTTTTGTAAATGGAGTCACAGTACAGATGCTTTTGTGTCCAACAGGGCTTTGAGAGCCATCCATAATGTCAGGTGAATCAAGGGTGTGTTCCTTTTCACTACGTAGTAATATTCCATTGTACAAATAAATGACATTTCCATACCTATTCACCTGTGGCGGGGCATTTGGGTTTGGGGCGATAATGGACAAGACTGGTATGAACACTTGTGTATATATTCTCATTTCTCTTGAGTAAATATATAGGAGTGAAGTTGGGGAGTCATTGGATAGGTGTGTGCTGAACTTTATAAGAAACTGCCAAGCAGTTTTCCAAAGGGGGTCTGTCATTTTACTCACCGCCAACAGTGGGGAGACTTCCATTTGCTCCTTGGCCTTGTCAACACTTGGTATCATCCATTTTTACTTTTTAGCTCTCCCATGTGTGTGGAGTTACATATCATTGTGGTTTAGTTTACATCTCTTGATAACAGGAGATGTTGAGCACAGTTTCATGTTATCTGGGAATAACAGACTTCACTTTTTTGATGGCTTCAGTGCTTGTATTTCTTCTCTCTGTGCACTGTCTAAAGTCCAACAGAACAAAGTCAATAAGAAGTGGTGAGTGGCCTTCCTTCCACCAATGACAATACTAGGAAAAAATTCAATATTTCACCCTCAAGTATGATATTATCTGTAGGCATTTTATAAATGTCTCTTATCAGATTGACAATGTTCCCTTTTGCTTAAATTCGGAGCCTTTGCATTCTGTTAACATTTTTTCTGTATCTATTAAGATGATCATGTCATTTTTCTCTGTTAATGTGATGAATTATATTGGTTAATTTTTTAATGTTAAACCAACCTTGTCTACCTGAGATAAACCCTACTTGGTCATAAGTTAACAGATATTTTATATATCTTTCAATTAAATTTCATAATATCTTGTGAAAGACTTTTGCATGTTTATTCATGAGGAATGTTGGTCTGTAATTTTCTCCTCTTATAATGTTTTTGTCAGATTTGGAATCAGGGCCTCACAAACTAAGTTGGAAAATATTTCCTCCTCCTCTGTTTCTTGGGAAGTGTTTTAAAAATTGGTGTTATTTTTTTCTAAATGTTGGTAGGATTCACTAGTGGAGTTATCTGAATCTGCAGTTTCCTTTGTGAGAAACGTTTTGATAATAAATTCAGTTTCTTTAACAGGTATAGGGCTACTCAGAGTTCCTCTTCAGTCTGTGGCTGTCTCTCCTGCCCATGTTGAGTTTGTCCTTGGCTCCTGAGGCCCTGGGCTCTGCACCACTTATGTGCTAGCAGATACTTCCAAGGGAAATCTGGGTAGAATGTCAGGCTAATTTGAATACACGTCTCTCAGTAATCAGGCCCCATTGGGCCGTGGCTGCCTTGGTATCTTTCTGGCCATCACACAGATATGTTGGAGGTATAGGGTGCAGCTTTTCTAGCCACTCTAGGTGGTAGGGTTGGCCTCCAACAATCTACTTCACCATTGTCAGAAGCAGAAATTTCTGGTCTTTATGTTTGAAGAATATTTTTGCTGGGTATAGAATATTAGGATAGCCATTATTTTCTTTCAGTATTTTTATAGTTTCACTTGGGGCCCAGGGGAATTTGAAAGGAACTGTGGGCCATAAGGCTACGGTGGGCACAGGGGTGGGTCTTGGCCCATCCTCCACACCCTCACCCGGCCCCACCAGCCGTGGCCTCCAGTCCTCTGTCTGCCGGCAGCCCTGCTTCTGCTGCCACCGCTCCCACACTCTGATGGTGCTGGCCACCCTCGCAACAGCGGGTGTGAGCGCAGGGCTGGTGCTGTCAGCGGGTGCGAGTGGCAGCTGCTGCCCCGATTACCCCTCAGGAGCAGGGGGAGGTGGAGAAGCCCTCAGGGATGATTGGGGCTGGCAACCACAACTCCCACCCGCTGACGATGCCGAGCGATGGGGTGAGTGATTGGGACCGGCGCTGGGCACCAGCAGCAGGTGTGAGCACCCGGCGGGAGCAAAGAATTTTCAGTAACTACCATAAGCTCGCCCCAAATCAGTGACCGGGGTCCCACTCACCTGCTCCACCATCCCGCCATGGCCAACGCCCACCATGTTCCACATGCATCCCCTGGTGGTCAGTGCTCGTCATAGCGACTGGTTGTTCAGTTGTGCCACTGTTCGGTCTATTTGCATATTCAGGTTTTATATATATAGATTCCACCATCCTCCGACTTTCATTGTTGCTATTTGGAAGTCAAATGTCAGACTTATTGTTGCTCGTTTAAATGTAATGTCTCAGGGGAGGGGGGTTTGCCCCTCTGATTTTAAAGATATTTTCCTTTATTTTGGTATTTGGAAACTTAGAACTAAGATATATCTATGTGACATTTTCATTGTCTTTATCTTTTTAGGGTGTTATGGCTCATTTTAAATCTGTGGCTTGATGCATTTTATTAGATTTGCCAAATTTCTGTCTAGTATCTGTTCAAATATTCTCTCTCCTCTCCCTCTGCAACTTCAATTATACATATGTTAAGCCTTGCCCTGCATGTCTGTTACACTTTTTTCTGTATTTTCCATCATTTTTTCTTTTCATGATTCAGTCTGAATACATTCTTTTGTCTGTCTTCCAGATTATTAGACCTCTGTCTAATCTGTCATTGAAACATTATATTTATTAATTTTGCTTATTGTATTTTAAAATTATGTTGCTTATATTTTGTTTCTAGTTCTATGGTAAAATTTTACATCTTGCCATTCACATTCCTGAACATTTAATCACAGCTATTTTAAAGTTTAAAGAGACAGGGAGGTATCTGTGTTTATTTGATGTTCTTACACATGGTTTTTGCCATATGATCTTATCTCCTGATATTCCTGGTAATGTTGATCAAATGTCAATCATCATATTTTAAAACTATAGAAATAATTTGATGATGCTATTCTTCCAGAGAGGATTTACTTTTGATTCTAGTAGGTAGTGAGGGTAGATGATCACCATAATCCATGATTGAGGGATGGTCTGTTCTGATCCACCTCTATTACTAGGGTGAAGCCCTTCTGTGCATACAACTAGAAACCTGGGGTGTTTATCAGGATCCTTCTGCTTCAAAGGCTCTGAATTTAAGTTTTTGGCCCCCTAAGATCATAATATTGCCAGAAGCTATCCTTGACTTCCCAATTTCTCAGCCTAAACTTTTAAATCAGCACATTCTCTGAAGAGGGACAAGATACCTAATGGTGGGCTCAACCCCTTCTCTCCAAGATCTCAGATCCTTCCATCCCAGCTGACCTGGCAGCTCCCCAGGCCGTACTCAGATTCCATGATGTATTTTATCTAGATTTTTGTGATGTTCTTGGTGGAAGTGTTAGTCTGTAGCAACCTGGTCCTCTGTCACCTTCTACTGCCATTTCTGTGCAATTTTTCCTGCCCCCTGGACACCTGTGGTCTAACCAAGATTACCATGTAGACTGGAAGCTGGGCATGCTCAGTTCAGTAACTCCTCCATCATGGTCACAGGCGTGGAGGCCCCTCTACTGTGTTAGCACGTGAGCACTCTGAGGTCCCATGTGTCTCATATTCACTCTCGTCCACCTTTTCTTCATTCCATTCTGCATGATACCACTTCTTCTGAAGTCCTGCTTTTCCCTGAAGAGGCCCCGCTCACCCTCCCACTCTCTCTTTCTCTGCTGGACTCTCCTCTTCCCCCTCCTCTAGGTCGCATGCGAGAAACAGGCCCTGGAGGAGCAGCTGGCCCAGAGCCTGAGGGACCAGGAGGCGCAGATGGACACTCTCCGGGCGGCCCTTCAGGAGAAGGAAGCTTTGTTGGAGGAGCAAGCTCAGCTGCTGGCCAAGCAGGAGGCCCTGGAGAGGCAGGGCCGGCTCACGACTGAGGAGGCAGCTGATCTCAGGTACCCAGGGGCTATGGACAGGGTGTGTGTGCCTGGCCTTGCCTCAGGGAGGCTGCAGTGTGGCAGGGGGCAGGCATTCACCTAGCAATGGTAGGGCAGGGAGGGTATGTTTACATGGGAGAGAGACTGTGAGTGAGGTGGACCCAGTGAGAGTCCTGGGGTGACCTTTCTGTGAGAGGTGGCTGCACTGGTCAGGTGGCAAGTTGCAGAATGACAACATGGAATGTCTTACTCGTGGATCTGAGAAGTTTAAGGTATACATGGCTTCAGATGAGACTGGATCCAGGTACTTCCACAGTGCCCGCAGGACCCTGCCTCTCCCCCCTCAGTGCTGCTCACTCCTGAGGAGGTCTGGTTCAAGGGCTCAGGGTGCGAGGTGGCAAGATGGTCAGTGGCTCCTCCAGGCTTCCTCCTCTAGCAGACACAGAGCGCCCTTCTCCCCACAAGGCCCAAGCGTTGCTGCCATTAACCATCCTGAGCTACTTCATGTCCCTGAACCAATTCAGTGAGTCACAGGGTTCAGATTGGCTGGCCGGGTCATATGCTTAGCCCCAGGGAACCACCAAGCAGAGAGTGGGGCCACAGTGAGCTCAGTGACCATGGGGCCACTTCCAGAAGACATGGAATGGGCACTTTAGGCAACACCAGGGGTGCCCTGTAGGCTGTTGCCTGGTGAGCTGACCTGGTCCCGTAGCCTCTGGACCTTTTGGGCCCTTCTCAGGAATATCCAAGCACTTTTCTAGAAAAGATTTCCTCCTGGGATGCCAGAATCTGGGGGTCCTTGTACATCTTCTCAGACAATCCTCTCCTCAAAATGAAAGCTTTTGGAAATTGATAAATGAAAGCTTGGTGGAAATTGATAAAACTTGACTAAGGCTGGGGTGGGTTGTCAGAAGCAGAGGCCCACAGTGCTCAGAGGGCAGTGTGGTTGGAGGCCCTTTTCCTCCGCCAGCATGTGCTGCTGGATCATGGGCCCTGGTCAGTGGTTTCGGGAACCTGGGATCCTGCACCAACTGAAGCCTGACTCCTGGGCCCAGGACCCCTGCACAGTCACATGCCCACCAAACAGCATTTCAGGATGACCCATCTGAGCTGCTGATGACAGGGCTGCTCGGGACTTGTCCCGAAACCATGTCTGCCTGGCACAAGCGGTGTGTGTTTATTTCACTGGGGTGGGACTCTCTGGCCGCCTCAGTTTTCATGAGTTCCCAGGCCGTATTGATGACCGCTCGGTGTGAGCAGTCCTGCTCCAGGTCTCCTGGTGAAACCTCCATGGTCAGCTTGATGTGGGAGGACCCCAGGCCCTGGGGACATGCCCTCAGTTCACAGGGTGCCAGCATGCTGTTCAGGCTGGGAGATGGACTAGGTTCCCTGCCTGCATACCCCACACTCACCCTGGCTGGCCTCAGGAGGCTGAGCTGCCTGTGGGCTCCTGTGGAGGGAAAGACTAGACATGCCCTTAGATTCCGGCCTCCAGGTGCAGATTCTGAGCAGCAGAGGAGACCTGGAGGGCCTCTGGGAGGAGGAAGGTTCTGGGGAGGGAAAGCAGTCTAGGTAAAGAGAGTGGGGAACATGTGGGTGCTGACCAGGTAGGGACTGGAGCGGGAACGAGGGTCTCAGAGAAGCGAAATTTCTGAGCTGTGCAGGTATCAGGCCCCTGGAAGGTGTGGAAGTGCCCAACCCCCAATAGTGGTGATAGTGGTGTGCGGGGGGAACCTAGCGAGGCTGCCCAAGGACCACGGCCCGCCCTGGCTCATGGGCTATCGTGGGGCTGCGCATTGGCCATTTGTGTGCTCATGTGGGTATTTGTGTTCAGTGTCTGTGGGGTGCCCATGTGTACGTCACCCAGCACAGCAGAGCAGAGCAACACTTAAAACATGCTCACTGGCTGGTTGATGCTAATGGGTTGGCTGTATTCAAGCCACCTCCCCAGAAATGGGGGCTGCTGTCAGGGCTGTGCTCGTCCCAGGTCCTTCTGAGCGTTCACATGGGTGCAGAGGCGCGAGGCAGCTTCTCCTATAATGGAGCCACACGTGTGAGGTTCTGCTTCTCAGAGCGACTCTTTAGGTGAAAGAGTTTCCTCATCCTCCTTACGACTGACAATGTGCCATCATTTCCACAACATTCTGCCATCCGCCAGCTCTGAAGACAAATGCGGTTCTCCAGCCACAGTGAGCACCCTGTGCCACGTTGTTGGTCCAGTGTGTTTCTAAGGTGCTAACACCCGAAGGTGGGGTTGCCGCCAGAGGTCAGGCACCCTAACTAGCACTGGGTATTATCATTGTTTCAGTCTTTTGGTAATCGAATGCCTGGTTGTGATTTTAATTTCCTTGAGTACCGAATAAGGTTAGCAAGTTTCATATGTTTATTAACCATCTGTGGATTTCTTTAAAATATATTTTATTGATTTTTTTACAGAGAGGAAGGGAGAGAGATAGAGAGTTAGAAACATCGATGAGAGAGAAACATCGATCAGCTGCCTCCTGCACACTCCCCACTGGGGATGTGCCCGCAACCCAGGTACATGCCCTTGACCGGAATCGAACCTGGGACCTTTCAGTCCGCAAGCCGACGCTCTATCCACTGAGCCAAACCGGTTTCGGCACCATCTGTGGATTTTTTTGTGAATAACAGTCATTTTTCTGTAGAGTCAGCTGACTTTCTGTCATTGATTAGTAGGAGCTTTTTGTATATGATGGATATGGACCCTGTGTATATTTAGTGCAGATTTTTTTTTCTTCAAGTCTGTGCCTTGTCTTTTAAGTTGCTTTGTGGAATCTTTTCTGCATGAAAGCTCTCCCTCCCTATCTTTAAGTATATTCAGACCTATCAGCTTCTTTATTTTTATCTTCTGTTGTTTGTGTCTTTCTTAAGAAGATTATAAAATACCCTTCTGTATTTTTTTCTACTACCTTTACAGTTCTAAGTACTTTAGTTGTTGTTGTTGTTTGTTTGTTTTTGTATTTGTGTGTGTGTGTGTTTTTCATTTAGCTTTTAATCCACCTGAAGCGTTTTTTGTGTGGGATCAATTTGTTTTTACAGATTTAAGATGAAAGATATGTCCTCTGTTTATTCTCTGACTTACCAGCCTGGCTTTGGCAAGCGCTGTCCTGCCAACAGCAAATGGGATCGCTTGGTGACTGGCCCGCTGTTTGATGGTTCTCCACAGGGCCGAGCGGGATGTGCTGGAGAGCAGCCTCTTTGAGGCTCAACAGCTGGCAGAGCAGCTGCAGGCACAGCAAGAACATCTGGAAGGAGAGGCCCAGAGCGCCCGGCAGGCCCGGCAGGCCCTGCAAGGTGCTCCAGCAGCTCCTGCCTGTCTCTCCTCTCCCCACATGGCCCAGAAGGGCCCCTTCCATAGAGCTCAGTCCCAAAGTGTTGCTCCCACTGCCTGGTCTCCCAGGAAGGGCACCAACTCGGGCCGGGGGCTCCTGTGGCTGAATGGGTGCATCTGTGAGGGGTGGCCTGCCCAGTCTGCTTCCCAGGGTCTAGACCTGGGTCAGTGTGACAGCCCCTGCCCCATTCCTGAGCTCCCACCCCTGCTCAGCCCACCTCACCATGTGTGGCTCACCCAGCCCCTAGGCTTGGCCATAGCCAGAATACACGCTGTGGTGGGACTTTGTCCCTGCCTGCTTGAGCAGCGTCCTCAGAGCAGGTGGCTGTCACTCCACAGGGGGCTTGCACAGGCCACAAGGTGTTCCATGGCATGGGGCCCTGTGGCCAATCCTGGATACATCTGTCACTTTGCAGTGGAATTGGAGCAACTGAAAGGCACCTGGGAGGTCCAGGAGACGAAGCTGGAGTGGGACATTGGGCAGCTACGGCGGCAGATGGCGCAGCAGGAGCGGGAAGCACAGCTGGCCCTGGAGAGCCAGGCACTGGCCCACTGTGAAGACATCGCACGGCTCCAGAGGGAGAAGGTCTGCTTCCCTAGGCCACCAGTTGCTGCCACTCCTGGGAATTTACATGTCCCAGATCATGGAAGACCCTCAGGGGAGGGGTCCTAGGAGACCAGGCAGAAGGCAGAGGTGCCAGGCCACACTCAGGTGGGGGCCAGAGAGGACCCTTCATAGGTAAGGTGGGCAGCTAGGGTCATGGGGCTGAGCCAGTGTGGCTAGGTCCTCTCCTTCGAAGGAGGGGCCAGCTGTGGGCATTGACTGACCTGGCTGCAGGTTGAGGGCTGAAGCTGGAGGGCGCTTCATCACCCATCTGAGCCATCCCACTGGCCAAGACTCCTGCAGGCCTTGTTTGACATGCCTGCACACATCATGCATGTCACTGGTGCGTGGCATGCCATGGAAGCTCAGGAAAGGCCTTTGAACTGTTAGTTCATGTCAGATAGAGGAGGTGGAGGTGGAGGCCCAGAGAGCCGCTTTGCAGCTCTTGCTTCAGTGACACTGTGTGTGAGACAAGGGGCTTGCAGCCAGCTTGACAAACCCTGGGGACCTGTCTTGCCCTGGAGTCCCATGAACCAGGTCTCACTCAGACCACAGGCACTGCTGGTCTCACATGTCCTGACCTGTATGGTCCTCACAGCCTGTCCCTTCGTCTTGGCCCAGGAGACCCTCAGTCTGTCTCTGACGGAGGAGAAGAAGGTGGCAGCATGCAGGTTGGAACAGGAGAAGGAGCTGGTGGCAAAAAGTGCAGCCAAGAGGGAGGCTCTGAAGGAGGAAATTCAGAGCCTGAAGCATGAGCGGGATGAGAGCCTCCTCCAACTAGAACATGAGATGCAACAGGTAATGGGGGGACTGTGAGGCAGTGGGCGTGCTCACTTCCACCTCACCATGCCTCCTCTGGCCCAGCAAGAAGGCTGTGTAGGGGAAGCCTTTCCAGGTCACTGCTACTGTAGCGCTGGTCTTCCACAGCAGTCCTGGAGGACAGACATTCACCCACCCACCTATCCACTCATCCATCCATCTACCCACCCATCCACCCATCTATCCATCCATCCATCCATCCATCCACCCATCCCTTTATCCATCTATCTATCCTTTCATCTGTCTATCCATCCATTCATCCATCTGCTCATGTATCTATCTGTCCATACATCCATGCAACTCAACTGTCCCTCAACTTCTTGTCCATTAACCGTTCATTCACCTGACTCCATTCTTCTATCCACACACCCAGCTGTCCACCCACATACATGGTGATCTCTCCACATACTCAATTGTCTATTCACACACATCACTGTTCATCAATTCATCAATTTGCTTGAACATCCATCCAGCTATTCATGTACCCAATCATCTATCAACATGACTATCCATCCACTCATCTGACCATCCACCTATCCAACCACTCACTTGACCATCCATCTATTTCTCCATTTAAACAGCCTTCTCTTTGTCCACACACTCAGCTGTCCATTCATATCCACCATTCATCCATCTGACTATACATCCATCTATCTGATTAGCCAGCCATTCATCCATCCATGTATCCAACTACTCTTCTGACTATCCTTCCATCCCCCGGCTATTGAGATTCAGACACTGGACATGTAAAAGTTACCTTCTGAGTCCAGGCTCTTCATTTTACTGTGACACCGTGAAGTATTCACTGTCCAGTGAATGGAAGGACAAGTAAACGTATTCACATATGTTGTCACATAAAGTGATAGAACTCTCAGGTGTTGGCACAAATTACAAACCACAGGGGATGGGTTCCAGTAGCAGGAGTCACCAAGGTTTATTGTCAGACTCCATGCATTTCTAACTTGCTTCTCTCAACATGCTGAGGTACACGCTCTTATTAGCCCCATTTTATTGGTGAGAAAAGTAGTTCATACATGGTGACCGCCTTGCACCAGCTTGCACAGCACACTGGGTCTGTGCTCATAGCTGTTCCACCCTCCGCTTCCTGAGGAGGAGGAAGAAAAGGCTTTGTAGCTGTGGTGGCATTGGGGGAGGGAGAGTGAGACTGTAAAGGAGGAGCAGGAGGTGGTTGGGTAGGGAGGGAAGGGAATTTGGGGAATGTCTGGGGATGGCACAAAGGACTGTGCAGAAGCCCTGAGTTCAATGATTCTCCAGAATGATCTAGAGAAGGAAAGTGCTACACTTATGATTACAGAGTTATTTAAAGGACATAAATCAGGACCACCCCAATGAAGAGACATGTGGGATGAGGTCTCTCCCCTGGGACCAGGCACATCACCCTCTGGCATATCAGGGTGGTCTAGGGTTTTCACTGGGGTCCTCCTATAGGTGTGATTGACAGAATCACTGGCCACATGATGAAACTCAGTCCCCACACCTTCCCCGAGGCTGGGAGATCTCAGTGGCTCACAGTCCCAGTGTTCTAATCCATGACTGGTGGGGCATGGCCACCCCCTCCCCAAACTATGTCAGGCAGCCATGAGTCACCCCTTAGAGTAAATCAGGTGCAGTCCTAGGGCCCAGGAATAACAAAGACGCTCCTCTCTTGGTGAATTCCAAGGGTTTAGAGGCTCCTCCCAGGACAAAAAAACAGACCAAATCTTATTATGAAAGAGCCTCCCTGAGATCGCTGTGCACAGAAGAGCAAATAGAAATACACATGGCTATCCCGCCTCTGTAACACGACAAGTACACGCATTTTCAGGGATCAATCTATGTTGGGAGTCTTTCCACATCATATGCTCAGGATTTGCTTATCCTCCTCATAGCCTCGTGAGGTCCTTGGATGCTTGTATCATGATTGTTTTGTTGGCCCCCCATCGGCAGACATCTGGTTTATTTCCAGTTTGTTGCTGTTGTGAATGATATAATGAACAATAATCAGTGGCCCTGAGCAGGTCATCCCACACATGTACACGCAGGTCTCCAGGCCACCTGCCCCAGTGGGCCTGGGCCTCCAGAGACCCATGCACCTGTGACTTTGATGGTCCTTGACAAATTCCTTCCACCTTCTGCAGCCCTGTGGGGGGCACTCCCCTGCACACCTCACCCTTAGTGACACAGCATTTTCAGAGGTTCAGAATCACTAGTGGTCCCCACTCTGTGCTCTGTAGAAAGTGGTGACTGGAGGGGTTGGGGGACTCCAGGGAGAAGGGTTCTGTGAAGCCCCTGAGCTGCGCTGGGAAGGAGCAGGTATCAGACAGGTGCATGGTGGGGAGGTGGGGGGAGAGGTGGTGCACCTGGTGGGGTGGGAGGGACTGCCTGAGTGCAGGCACGAAGGCTGGACCATGTCATATAGGACAACAGGCTCCCACCCCCCACCCCCCAGACGTCGCTGTCTCTGGGGTACTGCCCCCTCCAGAGCAGGGATGTGGAACCAGGAAGATGCTGTGTCCCACCAAGGGCTTCAGCACCCAGTAACCCACTGTCATGCCAGGCCCTGTCTCTGAAAGAAGCAGAAAGGAGCCTGCTGCAGCAGGAGCTCTCCCGGGCCACTCGGGAGCTGAAGCAGGTGCAGCAGGAGGCCCACGGCCAGCAGGAGCAAGCAGAGGTGAGCCCTGTGTGCCCCCATCAGCCAGAACCCAGGCGCTGGCCTGGCCCCTGCAGTGCCCGGGAGGCGCTGGCAGAGCCCCAGATGCACCCCTTCCCACCTCGTCCCAGGTATACACTCCCCCTCAGCCCCTCTCTGAGCCTCAGTTTATCTCCAGGCTTCTTGCTAAGAGGGAACATTGTCTTGATGGGAAGGAAAGGCCGAGGAAGGCAGTCCCTGCCCCCACAGAAGGCACCAGGGACTCCACATGAGCCAGCATCAGAGTGGGCAGAACCAGGCCTATGCCCCCAATCCACCGGCCCCCAGCCTTGCCTGTCTGTACACTTGAACATAACTGCAGGAAATCTGACTCGCTGGAGGGGCCCCTTTCAAAGGAGAAACCAAACCAGAGGAAGGACACCCACGGACAATCCCACAGAGCCTGAAGTGAGGCAGCCACCGTGGGCCGGGAGAGACCCCAGGAGGCAGCTGCCTGCCCTCGACCAGGGAACAGAGGCCCACGAATGCATGGAGACTGCTGCAGGCTGCAGCTGGGGTCGCCTGGGGCCCCTGACTCCTCTTCAGGACCCCATGTCTAGGGCAGGCCAGGCAGATCAACTAGGACTCTGGAGAGGGGAGGGGCAGCAATGATGGGGCCCTGTGTCCTCACTCCACGGATGGGACTGGGTACCCACTGCCATTGCTGGCAGGGTGGCCTCAGCCATTTGTGAAGTGGGCAATGCGGAGGCAAGGGCCCACTCACAGGAGGAGGTGGTCAAAGCAAGGTGACAGGACACAGATAGAGAGGGATCTCAGGAGCACTGCCTGCAGTTGGGGTCAGACAGCTGTCCTGGGGGCTGGCCCTGAGCAGACACAGGCTGCAGATACCCTCCAGGACACTGAGGGGGACACAGCCCCACCTCTAGCCACACCCACGCAGCCTCACGGGGCCAGCTCTGTCCCCTCTGCTCTGCCTTTGTCCCTCCAGCCCCGGTCACCTTTCCCGTCCAGTGCTGCTCTTTCACTTTTAACCTTGGTGATCCCTGTTCACCCTGGTCCCTGGCGTGTCCTTGTCCCAAGGGCACAGTCACAAGCTCCCTGGCCTTGAGTGAATGACTCAGGAGTCCGTGAATGACTGCGTGGATGAGTGTGGACTGCTCTGCCAGGCCCGGAGCTTCCTTCCTGAGCTGCAGGGGCGGGAAGGCCTGGCTGGGAGGCCATGAAGTTCACTGTGACCTATGGACAGGGGGCTGGGGGCTGTGCAGTGGACAAGGGGCTGCACTTAGAAGTTGGTTGCCAGGGTGTCTCTGTCCCCTCCTGCCTGCCGGGCGCCCAGATCCCAGTCACTCTGAGCAGAGCTGGGGAGGAACTCCCGGCACCGAGGCACCAGCACTCAGGGAAGCCTTGCCCAAGATCCTCGCTCCCTGGATCCCTGTCAGGCTCTGTCTCACCCCCTAGCAGATGGCCCTTCCATGTGCACAGCCAAGAGGGGAGTGGGGGGCCCTGGAATTGTGTCCTCTTTCCTGCCCACCCCCTCCCACCCCCCACAGATGCTCCTTCAACCCCTCTCAGGCAGCAGGAAACTAGGAAAGCACCCCCCCAAGACCCTGGGAACTCCCCCAGCTCTCAGGGGCCTCCCTCACTCTGGCTGAGTGTCCCCTTGGATGGCCTGCCAGCCAGTGGGTTCTTCAGGGAGCTCATTAAGGGTTCTTTTGCCACCTTAGCTTGGAAAATGAAAATGAAAACCCACTGAGAGGGGAGGGAGAGAGAAAGGCCAGCCAAGGAACACCAGTTGCAGGCAATGTAAGAACAAGCCCGGTGAGGGTGGAGAGGCTCACGGAGACAGAGGAGGCTCCCTCACCAAGAGCAGAAGGCACGAGCCCTGGCGGTTTGGCTCAGTGGTAGAGTATCGGCCCACAGATCAGGGGTCGCTGGTTCGATTCCCAGTCAAGGGCATGTACCTGGGTTGCAGGTTTGTTCCCCAGCTCACAGTCTCCAGTAGGGATGCGTGCAAGAGATAACCAATTGGTATGTCTCTCTCTCTCCTCTCTCTCTTTCTCTCTCCCTCTCTCCCCCTCCCTTCTATTCCCTCTTTTTAGCAATGGAAAAAGATATCCTCAGGTGAGAATTAACAACAATAACAAAAAAGAGCAGGAGGCACAAGCTGATAGAGCCCAACCCACCAGTGCCCTGAGCAGGGGAGTAGGGCATGGAGTGTGTGTCCCAGAGACGGGTTCAGGGCAGCCGAAGGGGCTCCTGTGCCTCCTGGGAGAATGAAGCCTGCTAAGGAAACCCTCAAACTACCTTGGGTCCCAGTACAGAGGCTGGGCTGGGTGGGCCTGGGGCACAGGTGAGCAGGTGACATCCTTGCTCTTGGACAAGGAGGTGCCTCCTCCCAGTGCCCATCAGTTAGAGCCAGGGAGGAGCATGTTGAGTGCTGTGGCCAAAGGAAAGCACATTTGGTCGGGCTGAGTCCTGAACGGATGTCTGGCCACCTGAGCATGGCCTGTGGTCCCTGCAGGAATGGCCCTGCGGACACTGGGAGTGTCACCTAATCCCACCTGCCTGTTTGAAAGTTCCGGCTGTTGGAGGGGTTCCTGTGGTCACCTGCACCCCACTGCCGTGTCTGCTGAGGGGTCCAGCCTACACTGATGGTGGGACCCCGGAGGCACCTTCCCAGCGACACCCCAGGCCAAGGGCCACAGGCAGAGGGGTGCTCCTCCTGTGCCCCACAAACCCAAGAGGGCAGAGGCTCAGCTCCTGGTGCAAATGCCAGCCCCCACCTGGCTGCAGGAGCCCAAGTCCAGTGTCACCTGAGGGCAGGGTCTCTTTTCGTTTGCCAAGTGGCCATTCCTGGCTACTCACTGTTCAGCAAAGTGGGCCTAATAGCAATGATTTAGGCAGCAAAGAGGTCGGCGCTGGAGAGCCCTGCCCTGGCAGCCTGGGGATCCCAGAGGAAAGGCCCAGAGGACAAGGAATGGGTCAGCCCCTTCCCTTAGGGATGCCCGTTGGGGCCTCTGCCCCCACCCTTCACCACTGTGTCCACTCTGGACCTGGCATTGGTGGCGCTGGCTGTAGCCAGGACAAGAACCGTCCCGTGGAGCCCCAGTCCATGCTCTGGTCCCCACCTGCCTTGTGATGCCGGAGCGAGCTGCCCATCTGGTCCCAGGACTTTGTGTGGCTGCCCGTGTGGCCCCCACCCACCATGGGCAGCCCCTTGATGCCTCAGTGGCTTACTGCTCCCCCCAGGCCACAGTCAGAGCCACGGCGGCGGAGCTGAAGGCCCTGCAGGCCCAATTTGAGGAGGCCATCTCGGCCCATCAGAGAGAGACCTCGGCTTTGAGCCACAGTCTCCGGAAGATGGTGGCAGAGCGGAGCAATGCGGGCAGAGAGGTGAGGGGGTGCCCGAAGGGGAGAGAGGGAGGTGCCAGGAGGGGTGAGAGAGGGGAGTACAAGGAGAGGGGAGAGAAGGCAGGTGTGATCTGAGGGGTGGGGAGGGGGAATTGGGCCATTAGCCTAGAGGCCCATCCATCCATCACGCTGTGGGAAGATCCCTGGTGAGCAGCTTGAGGCACGGACCCCACGGAGCTGAGCCTGGGTGGGGTGAGGCCACCCTGGGGTCTCCTGGAGCAGAGAGGCAGCAGAGGTGCAGGGTGGCCCTGCCTGGGCCTGACATGGCCCAGGAGCCCTGTGATGGTGTCCTGGGTGGGGACTGTCGTGGGCAGGGTGAGCAGGAAAGGCCCCAGCGAGGCCGGGTGGAGCTCGGCAGGCAGGCGATTGGGGAGGTGTTCCTGAGGTCGGTTTGACAGCACCCGGGCGCCTGGGAGAGGGGAGGGCAGGAGGACATGGGATTGGGGCTGGGGGAGGGTAAGCTGGCGCCCAGGTAGGGCCGGCAGGCAGGGACGAGCGGCTCTAGCGCTCGTGCTCCCTGGGCAGTGTGCCAAGGCTGGCAGGCGGCGCTGACCGTGCTCATGCACTAGCCTGGAGGCTCGGCGGGGGAGGAGGGGCTCGCCCTCCCCCAGCACCAGGGCAGGCTGGGTGGACGGAGGAAGAGAGCGTGATTTAACATGACAGGCTGTTTACTTTGGCCCCCAAAGAGAAAGGTCTCCTTTCAACAGATTTCAAAGTCAGGCCGGTCAGCGACCACACGGGGAAACAAAATGAGGTTTTAAAACTGGGGGCAGCAGTGGGAGGAGCTGGGAGATGTACAAGTTCAGGTTCTTGGAGAGGGGCCTCCAGAAAGGGAGTGGGGGGACGGACAGGGAGCCTGGGGGGTGAAGGGGAAAGAGGAGCATGGAAGCGCCCTCACAGGCGCCAGGCTGGCCAGGGTCACCATGGAAACCATAACATTTTCACAGTCCTTAAACTGAAGGCACATCCAGGCCTCTGGCAGCCCTGACTGAGTCCACACATGTGTGTGTACATGCACACACATGAACCCACTGCATGGCTCACACGCATGCACACCCCATACCTGCATGCACACACATGTACACAAAAAGTGACAGTGCATATGTGCATGCACTCATGTGTGGGCACAATGCACATGTAAACACATGTGAACACCATGAAGTGCGCACACACTAGTATATCCAACAGGAGCACATGCACGTCCATACATACTTGCATGCTCATACATAATGCCATGTGTGCACACACATATATACATGTATGCAGTTGCACAACCACACGGTCACCATGCTGCATGCACACACGTGTGCACACCAATCACACATGTGTGTTGCCATGTGTGCACAAATGAACATGCCACACGCAGGCCAGGGCCCTCAACTCCCCTCCCTCCTCTTTGCAGAGCTCTCGACCACCTCCCTGCAGGAGATTTCAAAAGAGGCTGTTTATACAATTTTTAGTAAAGAAATAATTATTATAATCACATTAAGCGATTTGGCTGTAAAATTCCTGTAAAAGGGATGGTTGTTCTCGGGAGACAGAGGGAGGTGGGTGGAGGTGCGGGGGAGGGGCCCTGCATTTGTTTTGCTTGTTTTCATCTCCTTGTCCTGGGAAATGAAAACAGCTTCTTTTGTGATGGATAGGCCCTTTTGCTGGTCCTTGACCTTCTGGGTGGATTTCTGCTGAGCTCAGCGGAAAATGCTCTACACAACTTGTGGCTCCCACATGTGGGGGGTGGGAGGGGAGCGAAGGGGGGGCTCAGGCCCTTCCCAAAAACAGAACAACAATAACAGCAGGCGAGTGCAGGAGCCAGGCCGGCCGGGGCCTGGACAGTGTCCCATAGAAGCAGCCAGCAAAGTGGAGTTTGCTCTTGGCAAACGGGCTTCTTGACATGGCCCAGAGTTCCTGCGGCTTCCCCTCCCTGGCATGTCCCCGCTAGCTTCCTCTGTCTCCTCCTGGGGGACATGTGAATCGGAACAGAGCTTTCTGCAGAGTGTCCTGGTTAGGGCCACAGCCAGCTCAGGAGGCAAAAGACCAGGTGCCCTGGCAGAACCCTCACCCCACAGCCTGGGCATTGAAGGCTGGGCTGCCCCTTCCCCAGGCCTACACTCTCCCCCAGACCCTCCTAGCAGGGCTGAGCCCAGGACCTTTGTGCCCCAAGGTGAGTAGGGCCCCTGACTCCCACCCACACTTTGGTGTCAGCAGGCTCTGCCTAGAAGCCCCTGGTGTAGGGCCTGTGCAGGAGAGAACACAGGTCCTGGTTCCAGGTGGTGGGTGTCGCACCTGCAGCCTCTGCCCCTCCCTGGGTCAGCTCCCTGAGGTGCGGACTGGACGTGGGAGTCTCCTACCATGGGCCTCGACTGCCCACCTCGAGTTTAGGAGGCTCACACTGGAGCACTCCATGCAGAGCACAGCGAGAACTCCCTGCCCGAGCAGCTGGACAGCCTGGCCCAGTGGCCCTGGTGCCAACAGAGGATTCCAAGGACACCAGAGACCCACCTCCCACTGCCTCCGGTTCCAATAGGGGACCAGTGCCGCAGGGGTCAGGAGCCTCGGCATTGACACTGCTGCTCATGCCGGGGCAGACAGTGACCCTGGGTGCCACGCCATTACTGAAGGAGAGGAGTGGACACCAGAGCCCGACAGGTGGCAAGGGCCATCGGGCAGTGGGTACTGGATCTGGGTGGGGACAGTGCTGATGGGTGGGCAGAGCCGTGTCCCCTGCACGGAGTATCCATCAACCCTGGGGTCCAAGGAGGGAGCACAGGACCGGACCAGAACTAGGAGAAGTCAGGGTGTCACCTGCCTGGGCTCTGGGACTGGCCCTGGGGAGTCACCCTGAAGCCACAGGTTGTCAGAACCAGGCTGTCTGCTTCTGCAGGCACTTGGGAGAGGAGGCCAGCAGGACACTAGCACTGCAGACCAGAGCCCCAGGCTGTGTGCTGCCTGTGGCTGTCCCTAGAGCAGCAGCTCTGCCTGCTGGACCATAGCTCCTGACCCCCCACCCAGGCTGGCCCACGGCCCCTAGAACTGCACGCTCCTCCTCCAGGCCGAGCAGCTGCGGGCACAGCTGGAGGAGGCCCAGGAGGGGCTGGCTGTGCTTCGCAGGGAGCTGCAGGGCAGTGAGGACAGTCTCGAGGGGCTGCGCAGGGAGGTCGTGGATGCCCACCGTGCACTGGGGGACGAGGCCCTCGAGAAGGACCTGCTGCAGCGTTCCAACGCCGAGCTGCGGGCCGCAGTGCGCAAGGCAGAGGAGGAGAAGGCCAGGTATGGCTCCATCATGGACTGGCTGTGGGGAGTCCCCCTCGCCCCAAAGCTCCCTGCCCCCCACCCCACCCCTGGCCGTGGTAGGAAAGGGGTTTCCTACTAAGCTGGGCCAGATGATGGTGGGGGGTATACCCGGCAGATCCAGGGTGCCGACTGCCCATCCAGAATGATGACTGTTGGCCATGAGGGGGACACCTGGACACACAGACCCGTCCCTGCTCTCAGGGAGTTCCCCTCCGGCAGGAAAGATGGACCCCAGTGGCCAGTTGGAAATGGCCGGGGCTGGAGGGAGGGGAGTAGTGGTGAGAGGAGCTGGAGACATAGAGAGGGGCCAGGACAGCTGGGCACTCAAACCCACTGCCCAAAGGTGATAGGCAGCCCCAAGGAGGCTGGGCTTTGGGACGCCTTAGGCATGTCTCAATAGAGTGAGGTGAACAGCCTGCAGGGTAGCCTGAACGGTAACCATGGGAGACGCCAGAGCCCCCAGGTGGCTCCCCCAGCCCCAGCCAATTATGCTCTGCTCAGTTTTCAGAGGTCCAAGGAAGAAAAGGAGCAAAAGGTGCTGGTCCTGGAGGAGGCCCGAGCCGCAGCCCAGAAGGAGGCTGGCAAGCTGAGGGCCAGCCTGCAGGAGGCAGAGCAGGCCCAGTTAGACACCTGCCGGGAGCTCCAGGAGCTCCGCAGTCAGGTGACCAAGCCCTCGGAGCCTCACACAGGCTGCCCTCCTTCTTCCCCCACCTTCCCCCCCCCAACCAGGGCACCCAGGTGCCTTGTGCCTTTGGAGCCACCAGCAGAAGGGCCCTGCTCAGACTCACAGGGTTCCTGGGTGGGTCTGCCCTATGGGGCTCAGACGACAAACCTCAAACCTAATGGCCTAAAACAACCTTCTGAGGCTCATGAGCCCTGAGGGTCAGAAATCCCGCCTGAGGGCACAGACGGGAGCTTGGCTCTGCCCCACAGCACAGGCGCCCTCGGGGAAGCCTCCACAGCAGGGGCTTGACAGCAGGGACTGGGTCTCCTGGAGGCACCTCCTCTCACGTGTCCAGTGGCTGATGCTGGTGGTAAGCTGGGCCACCAGGGCTGATGTTGAGCTCGGAGCTCTGCGCTCCACAGGGTCCTGGCCCCAGGGTAGAGGTGCCAGGTGTCTGTGAAGTGGCTGAGGGTGAAGGTCTGAGGGTACTGCACAGACCCCTGTCCAGAGCTGGACTTGGCCTGAGCGTCCTAGAGTGTGGGGAGATGCCCGGGAGGGAGGCTTTTTCCCAGGACACGTGAGCAGAGGCAGGGGTGCAGGAGGCTGCCTGAGCTCCTATGAGGGGACGTGGGCCCCCATCAGTTCCGTCCCCACCCCCCAGGTGAAGACGCTGGAGACTGAGAACCAGAGGAAAAGCCAAGAGGTGCGCCAGCTGCAGGCCCAGTGTGCACAGGACTCGCAACGGCAGCAGCAGAGCTGGCGAGAGGCCCTGGAGCTGCAGAGGCAGGCGGCTGAGGTGGACGCTGCCCGGGAAGACGCCCAGAAGGAGGTAGAGGGCTAAGGGGCCCAGAAGGGGAGGCAGAGGTCCAGGGTCGCCCAGGCCTTGCTCTCACCCTCATTTCATCACATGTTATTCAAGGATAGAGTCTCCCCCAGGCAAAGAGAGTTCTGAGCCTGCGGACAGGCAGGGGGACCCAGAAAAGACCAACTCTCAAGAGCTTCAGGTCTCTGAGCTCACACCTCCACCCAGGCCTGCACACGTGTCCCACGCCCCAACACCTGCACACACAGGCACACACTCTCCCATGAGCTCTCCCCAAACGCCTGCACACATGTCCCCACACCCTACCACATGCACGCTGCCGTGAGCTCCCCCCACCAGCTCACACAGCCCCATACCAGCTTGAAAGACCCTCTGTTCAGTCCCAGGCACCGCCCCTCAGGTTCTGTTTGCTGCGGGGCTGTGCTGCCACGGCCAGGTGGCCTTGGACCCCCCACACACAGCCTGAGAAGGTCTCCCTGGGCCTCGGCCTGTGTGGGGCTCCCAGGTTCAGACCCAAAGTCATGTGCAGAGTGGCTATTATCAAGTACCCACCATACCCAGAAACATGGTTTACTTCCCATGGCCCATGTGACCCCTGTGTCACCTCACAGCCCCTCACCTCCATCTGTGAATGGGGTCGTTATACTGCGGCCACCCAGGGAGGGAGATGAGATGAGGCCCACCTGCACTGGCGCCAGGCCTCCTACCCCGGGGGTTACAGTCTGGCAGGGGCTACATAGCTGGGAGCTGGGGCCTGGCTGCCTCCCCACAACCTGTGCACATTCCGAGGGGGCGGGCGGTGGCCCTGTTTATTGCCCTATTCACTCACCTTGTGAGAATGGAGGACTGGGAGCACAGGCCATGACCAGGATCTGCAGCGGCAAACAAGTGGCCTAATTGGGAGTGGGGCGATGGACAGCAGCAGAAGGACAGCAGGGTCAGGGAGGGCCCCTCTCACTGGGGCTGGGCTGCCCAAAGAAGAAAGGGGACGGTGGCCCAGCAAGGACAGTGCGGAGAGGGGCTGCCAGGGGCTGAAGTGAAGAGAGAGGGAACAAGGGAGGCCCGGCCAGGGGAGTCCGGGGAAGCCACCCAGCGCCTCCCTGCCCCCTCAGCCTCCGTGCACTGTGTGTGGGGTGGATGACATTCTATTTTTCCGTGGTATTATCCATTTGGAAGTCTGTGGTGGGGCGTCTGGCACCCTGAGGTTCCCCAGTCCTGGTCTCAGGTGATGCTGATGCAGCCTTTGCTACCACAGGCCCTGAGCAGGCAGACAAGCAGGGGGCTGGCCGCAGAAGGTGCAGCCTGGGCCACGGCCCTGTCTGGCCCAGGTTTTCATGCGGCTGCGGGGGCCTCTCTGCTGCCTGCCCGAATGTACTCCACAGTCCTGGGGTGCCCATCCCGACCCGGCTCAGGTGTCTCCCCTGCCAAACATGGGCTGTGAGGCAGGTCCTTGGTCCCTCCAGCTGTGATATGCCAAAGAGGGGCTGGGGCGAAAGGCCCAGGGCCAGTCTTCAGAGGTGCCTTAGTATCCAACCTCCATCTGAGCCCCCACGGCCCTGCCACAGGTCCTGAGGCTGCAGCAGAAGCTCGCGGAAGTGAAGGAGCGGCTCTGTGAGAGCCACAGGGCTGAACAGAGCCTCCGGGCTGAGCTGCACGGGGCCACCATGAAGCTGCAGCAAGCCAGCAGTGTGACTGACAGCCTCCAGGCTCGCCTGGACAGGGCCTGCCACCGCGTCCATAGCCTGGAGCAGGAGCTGGCCCGGGCAGAGGGTGCCAGGCGGGATGCACAGGGCCAGCTGAGCCGGCTCTGGTCCACACTCTGCTGCGAGCTGGGGCTCCGAGCACAGAGCCCCTCTGCCTCCCCTAAACGGCCCGGCTCCCCCACCAAAGGTCAGTCAGTGTCTTTGGTGGCTTCAGGGGGCTCCTCTCCCAGCTCCACCACCTACCTGCGCCACCCCCACCCCTCCCTGGGCCTCACATTCTGCACCATAAGGGCCTGTCCCTTGTGCCCCATCCCCGGCTCCCTGTGGGTGGGGACAAGAGAGAAAGGGAGACAGGGCATCCATGTGCCACTGAGCCCGTCCCCTCAGACCTCACTATCCTACAGGTTTGGACGGTTCTCAGGGTCACTCTGGGAGGCACAGTGCCAGCCCCCCTGCCAGGTCCCGCTCACCACTTCGATGGCCTTCACCTGCACCAGGACAGCAGGGCCCAGACATGGACGTGGCCTCTGTGCAGGACGCCCTGAGGGACTTCATGCAGAAGCTGCGGGATGCCCAGCAGGAGCGGGTAAAAAGGGGCAGAGAGGACCTGCCCTGAAGGCTCCGAGAGACAGGAGGGGCCACTCCCTGTGTGCTGTCCACCTGGGTCCAGGGCAGGGGCGTCACCATCCCCATGCCTGTCTCCTGAAGAACCATCCCGGGCGCTGGCCACATCACCTGCAGAGTGTCCCCCATGACCTCTCACACGGGACCAAGCTCCCAGCAGCTACTCACATGGGCTCCCCATCTTGCCACCCCAGGGATGCCCCTCCTAACCTGCCAGGTGGGAGGAGCTATGGGAAAGGCTGATAGTCATGGCATGACCTATTCCCCCACTCTACGTGCATACCCCAAACCTAGACATGCGGGCACAGCGCCTCCAAGCCTCCCCCGGGCCTGTCCTGAATGCCTGTATAATGCCCACCAGACCCCCAAAACTTCTAGCTCCCCACTCCCCGCAGCCCTACCTGCTGACCTTTGACCTTCTCCCAGGACAACTGGCGCGCCCAGGTTCACCACCTGAGCAGCTGGCTGAGAGAGGTGGAGAGGGAGCGTGCCCGAGCCCAAAGCCACGTGAGGCAGCTGAAGACAGCGCTGGCCCAGGCGGAGGAAGGTGACCTCCCTTCCCCACCTGCTCCTGGGGGTCCCCCAGAACACCCACTTCTGGCCTCCAGTGTGCAGTCCTGGGAACAGCTCAGGCTTGGGCCATGGGGTAACACCAAACCAGCACCCCCCTGCACTGGGGGACAGCACTTCCTGAGACTGTGAGAGGCCTCCTTCTATGGCATTCTCTTCCCACCTGGGCTTCTGCACTGGCTGTGCCCAAAGTTGGAGCCTTCCTCCCAGTCACAAGGCCCATCCCCCCATTGGGTCTCTGCCCTCAGAGAGGCCCCTGCCCTGCTGGTCACCCCACTGCATTTCTGTCCCTCACCCCATTAGTGGGTCACCCAGGGAGCCAGGCCCAGGGCCTGAATGTCTGGAAGGAAAGGCCTGAGAGAAGGGTGGGCTGGGGAGGGGCCTGGGGTCCAGGCCTTGACCTGTGAGGGAGGAGCAAGGTTGTCAGAGGGGAGCCTCTCAGCCCCCACCATCTAGATGCCAGTCACTAAAACTCCCCGGGCCTCAGTTTCCCAGCCTCTGAGATGGGAGGGGCGATCCCCCGTATGGGAATCCCTAGACCTTGGGAACCAGGCAAGCCACCCTGCTTGCCCCACAGGCTGGCGCCAGGCAGAGAGGGAGGCGGGCAGTGCCCAGGCCACCAGGGCCCTGCAGAAGGAGGTGCTTCAGAGGCTGGAGAGGGAGCACCTGGCGAGTGTGCGGACAGCAGGCCAGGAGAAGAGGCGGCTCCAGGTGGGGACCCCACACCCCAGGGTCAGGAGGGGAAGGGGGAGGCTGAAAGGGCTGCTGGGGAGGGGAGGTTTCAGGTGCCTGTGGGCAGGTGGCCCCAGGGGCACTGGGTTCCCACAGAGCTTATCAGGGCTGTCCCTGCAGAGCTGTATTTGAGGTGGTCCTAACCCTTATTTTACAGATTGGGGAAACTGAGTCCTGGGCAGAGAGTGAGTTGGCCTAGGTGGCAGAGCCAGCCAGAGGCAGGCCAGGGGCAGACCCGGCCTCTTTCTGTGACCACACCAGCAGGCATAGCGTGGCCCAGCCTCGGTGATCTCTCTCTATGCGGTCAGGTCTATGCTGTTACGGGACTTTTTTTTAATCTTCATCCAAGGATGTTTTATTGATTTTGAGAGAGAGAGAGAGAGCGCTGGATGTGAGAGAGAAACATCAATCTGTGCCTCCTGTGCACACCCCAACCATGGATTGAACCCCCAGCCTAGGTATGTGCCCTGACCCAGAATCAAACCCAAAACCTTTTGGTGTACGGGTTGACCCTCCAACCAACCAAGCAGCTCGTCCAGGGCCTGTGGGGTGGTTTTTACCCCACGTCACTCACACACGAAGCAGGCTGCACAGGATGGACTCAGTAAATGACCCCATGTGGGCTCTGTGCTGTGAAGGTGGCTGGTGGTCTGCAGTTTCCAGGTGAGGAATCTGGGCCCAGAAAGGGGCCGGCCTGGGTGATGGGGGCCGGCTTCCCCCTCACTACCCGGCCCCAGAAAGCTGAGGCTCCTTGAGGACTTCGGGGGCATGGGGAACAGTGTGTTTGGAGCGGAGCACTGGCCCTTGGGAGGCCCTGGGGGACCAGGGTCTCGGGCCTCACCCTGAGAAGTTGAGGTGGCTGCCGGCAGCAGAGCAGAAGGGACTCGTGGGCAGGACACAGGCTCTCAGCCCCAGGAGTGCCACTAGCTGCACGTCACCCCTCTCCAAGTGCCCTGGATGGATGGGTGAGGGAGGACAGGGATGGTCCTGCAGGGGAGGCACCAGAGAAAGCACGGAGGAGCTCAGCCCAGAAAAGATTTGTAAGACAAAATGTAATTTCTGTTTCAAGACCCCTCCAGCCGAAGCTGCAGTGGTGATGGGGGGCGGGTCATCCCAGGGTCCAGGTGCCTGGCTGAGTGGTGGCAGGACTTGTGAGGTATGCGGGGCTGAGAAACCAGAAGAGGTAGGGTGGGACTGTGTTTCATTTTACACATATGTTCACATGTATGTGTCCCATGCACATCTTTAATAATAAAAGTGTAATATGCTAATTGTCCTTCTGGACAATCTTCTGGAGGAAGCCAGGGCTTCGAGGGAAGCCCGGGTTCTGGGTGCCAGAGGGAAGCTGGTACCGGCAGCCTGGGGAAGGAAGGCCTACTCTTGCACGAATTTCATGCATTGGGCCTCTAGTTTGAAAATAAGTTGAATATACCTATTAAATCAACCATTACAAATACAACACTCCTCACTGGATCTGTCTCCCGAATTTATCCAGGCTGAGAGTGATGCGTTAAATTTTCCCACTGTGATTTTTTTCTTTTGGCAACGTCTCCTTTATTCCAAGAGTCTTTGATTTGTGGATTTTTACGGCATGCTCTTCAGAATTCCACGTTTCTCGCTGCTCCAGCTTTTCCAGATCTGGAGGCCTTTGCCCGTAACCGTTCTGTCCTGAATTCCACTCCACCTGATGCGGCACAGCCCACCCGTCCCAGAGGCACTCCTGCCCTTCCCGCCCCACCGTCCCTCAGCCAGGAATCCGTTTCAACTCCACCTCTGAGTCTGCCCTTTTGCCGTTTCCGGAGACTTTGTCCCACTTACAAGCCTCACCGTGGTGTGTTCACTCTGCTTTTCTCTGCCCTTGACTGTAGGTTGTTTGCTCTCCCCTTCCCTCAGTGCCCACATCCTGGCCTCGTCCCTTTCCCTGGTCTTGGGGGTACAGGAGTGTTACCGAGATGAGCGGGTAGCGACGTCGCACTGTGCTCAGGGAATGCTGATGGCAGCTGGAACCCCTTCCTGTGCCCAGCCTCCCCCAGGAGTTCTGTCCAGGGACCTGCCCGTATCTTTCTGCTCAGTGCCGTCTGGGTTCGTGCAGAGTCTGCCCCTGAGTTCGAAGCCTCCAGTGTCTGCAGACAGACCCAGAGGATTATCCAACAGCAGCCACACCTGGTGCCTTCCTTCTCAATCACAGGGGCCGATGGAACCCCATTTGTGGGCTCCCAGTCCTGCAGGCCAAAAATCCCTCGTAGGTGACTTGTTCTCTCCCAGGTCTCAGCCTCTGGGGTGGGCTGGTCCCGAAGCTGGAAGAATGCCCTGGCAGCTCATTCAGGGTGTGGCAGGGTCCAGTTCCCTGTGGCTCTGGGACCAAGTCCCGTATTCCAGCTCTCGGCTGAGGATGGAGCAACTTCTAGAGGCTTCTCCCAGTCCCTGGCATGGGCCTTCTCATGGGCCCTCATCGGATCCCCGGATCCCCGAAGATCAGACCTCCTGTGTGTGTAGACCCGCCTGGGTGGTCTCCCATTGGTTAATTACTAGCCCTCATTACCTCTGCAAATCCCTTTGCAACGTAATCATTACAGGATGACATCAGGGCCAAAGGTCACAGGCCATCTGTAACTGCCGGCCCCGGATTTTAGGAATTTGTTGGACGTGTCAGCTGAACTCTTGTGCACACAGCTGTCTCAGGTGAGCCAGCCCTCTTCCCATCTCTCTGAGAGAGGCCTTTTTCCCTCCGATCTCAGGCTGGTTGCTTGCCCTCTGACCTCCGTCTCGGTTGGATTCCAGAAATGTGAGAATGTTGTAGGTTATTTGAAGTGTATGTCCAGAGTGGGGAGCCAGAACGCCCATTTAGCTTTGAAATTCAAAAACATTGACTCCTCCATTGTTTGTGCCTGTGCTTGGTGAACCCGACCAGGCAGAATCCAATCTACCTCCGTTTATACAGGTTCTTTCCACTGGAAAAGCATCTCTCCTCCCCAAGCTTCCCTGTGAGTTTGTCCCAAAATTCACAGCAGCCCAACACTGCTCTCTGGGCCTTCCTGACCTTGAACTTCACCTTTCCAGGTCCCAGCAGTTCAGGGTCTTCTGCCTGTTTAGCTGACCTGGCCTGTGTTGGCCTGTGTGTGTGTGTGTGTGTGTGTGTGTGTGTGTGGTGGTGGTGGTGTTGTTGTTAATCCTCACCCGAGCATATTTTCCCACTGATTTTTAGGAAGAATGGAAGAGAGAGGGAAAGACAGAGAGAAACATCGATGTGAGAGAAACATCGATTGGTTGCCTCCTGCATGAGCCCCGACCAGTTAAGGGCTGAGAAGGAGCCTGCAACCGAGGTACAGGTCCTTGCATCAAACCCGGGACTCTTTGGGCCGCAGGCCGACCTTTATACACTGAGCCAAACCAGGTAGGCGGCCTTTGTGTTTCTATCTCAATTGTTCACTCTCCGGCTCCCCCATGGCCTCACCTTGAGAATATCATTGAACCTTTTCTAACACAGATTCCCTTTTCTTGCAATCACTTTGTTCTCTTTAGTTTGAGACCCTCAGATCTGATTCCTCAGATTGGCTTTGTCTCTTGAACCACAGTTGATTGCCACGTACGTCATCATTTTTTTTCCTCTGCACGTCTTTAAAGAAGGGGGTCTGGTCTTGCTCAAAGTTGGAAGTGGAGAGAAACCTCCTGGGGACTTCGTGTGACCCTGTCCAGATACTTCAGGCCCAAAGCAAAGGCAGAGAGAAAGGTCCCAAGGGGAGCCGTGGGGGCCGTGGGGCATGGGGAGCCGGTGGCAAAAGCAGTCCTGAGCCCTCACTAGAGCTTTTCTGTTCCAGGAATGGGGTGGGCGAGGGCCCTGCTCTGGGGACACAGCCATAGTGACTGGAGGCCTCTAGTTCCTCACACACCATGGCCCTCATCCCCGGAGGCCTCCCCTCCATGTCAGCCGCCCCCTCCAGTCCTGGCTCTGAGCCGGGGTTCCCAGGAACTGGGGAGTCTTCTGAGGTTCTTCAGATATTCTGTATCCATGTTAATTTTTCTGCTTGATCAATAATTTCCTCATTTTTTTAAATTGAAGTGTGTGTCCTAAAATCTATCAGTGTTATGTGAAATTTTTCTAGAATTCTGGCAATTACCATTTCTCCTACTTTCAGGCTGGTTGGTTCTGTCTATCCTCCATCTTGCAGGAGCCCTCAAAGTTCTGGTCTTTAGCTCTGAGGAAAGTTCTCCCACATTTTGTGACCTCTTGACCATTGCAGTGGACATGGGATGGGGATTGAGACTCACCTAAATCACTGGCAGCCCCAGGCCCTTTTGACAAACAGCCAACCCAGGCAGCAGTGTTTGCCACCGAGGGTGTGAGCCACAGCAAGGTCTGCAAGCTACACAACAACTTCCACATTCCCGGCCTGGGTTTTTCTCCATTTCACATAAGCCAATGTGTTTGTCAAGAGAAAGTTAATTAAAAACATATTTTTCTAATTAAATGGTAGGCCGTGCTGTGCAAACAGTAAGATTCTTGTTTGAGTGCAAACCCCTCCTGTTTCCAGGGCTACCCTGGGGATTCACTAGATCAGCGATGCACAGCCTGCATCACCCACCCACATGACCCTGCATCAGAGCCAGGTCCCAGCCTCCCGCTCCAAGGCTCACAGTGTCCTCCTGGCACCCGGACTTGTCACGTCCGACCCCACTGGCTCTCATGTGCCCCTGTGTGAGCCCTGCCGCACATCCCACCTCTCCAGAGAACGCTCCCCCGGCCCAGCCTGATCTCAGTCCAGGTTCTAGAAGCGAAGCTGGGGAGCCCCTGGCACCCCTGGGCACATGTTTTCAGCTGGTTCCTAACTTTTGTCAAGAATGTCTGTGCTTGTGTCTTTATCAGCTTTTTTTGTGTTGAGATGTTTTATCTTGATTTAGTGAATTGGTGAGCTTTCCATCTTTTTCTCTCACCTGGAATAATCTAAATAGCCTAAGAGGTAAGCTTTTTTAAAGGTTAGTCTGAATTTGCATGCAAACCACGCCCTCCTGTCATCTTAAATAGGCTTTAACTTCCTCTCCATCTCTGTCATTTTCAGTTCTCCGCCTCTTCTTGTCAAGTGGCAGTCACCCGCCTTATATTGTTGAGTGCACGTGTGTTTACCGTCGTCATAGTGACATGTGTGGTTATACCTGCAGTTAGATCTGTGCCTGTGCTGGGTGTCGGAGATTCTATTTATTTCCCCTCATCCAACTTGTCAACAGTTCATCTCTTTTATTGATCTTTTCAAAGAATCAACTTTTATCTCTTCTCTTATTTCTGTCTACTTTACTCATTTCGGCTTTTATCTGTTAACATCCTCTTTTGGTTGTCATTTTCCTGATTTCTGACATTGAATAAGTGTGTGTTTATGTTTGGACTTTATCTGTCACTAGTAAGAGAATTCATTGTGAACCGTGTTTTCCCTAATTGAGGTTTGCTGAGTGACCCGTGGCTTTTCCATATGAATTATTTTCCTTTTTACCCATTTTCCAGGAGTTTCAGTTTTTATTCCTTCTTTAATTCAAAAGACTAATTCCATGTTTGTGCCTCCTTTCGTCGCCACATCTGGTCTCACTGGCGAGAGGGTGTGGCATGGGCAGTGCGGGTCTTTGGTCAGCTTCCGGGGGGATCTGGGTTTATGCTCCTGGTTGTCGGCTGTTTGCTGGTTGCTCTTTGCTTTCTTGGTTTGGTTTTGTCTATTTGTTTGTGGTATGTTTGGAGGAAACTGAACAAGCTGATTGCAAAGTTTACAGGGAAGAAAAGATGTTTATAACTGATTTAAGGCAGCAGGAGGGGTAGCACAGGCTGGACAAAGGCCAGCAGGGTGGTAGAGTCCAGAGGTGTTCAGCTGTCACTACTTGGCGCCAAGTCCCTTATATCTGAGCAATTCAGGGGCCCATTGTGTCCTGGGACTGGCCAGAGGGCAGAACCAGCCAATGGGCAGAGGGCAGAACCAGCCAATGAATGGGTCCGTTGTGACCCAGGGGCTGGAAAGGTGTCAGGCTGAGGACCTGAACTCCAAGGCCCAGAGGACGGATCGGGGGGTCTTGGCATGCTCTGCTCTTCACTGTGCATAAGCAGGCTGTGTAATGAGACCCCCACCCTGTATGTGCGCAAGACATTTTCCACCCTTCCTTCTACAAGACCCTCATTTCACAACAGCCCTCAGAGGGTGTGGCACCTTACAGCCCCCTCCCTTCCTTCTCCTGGCCTCAACAAGACCCAGTGAGATTGCATCACCCCATGCACAGATGGGGAAACTGAGGCTGGGGGCCTGATCCAAGGGCACGAGGAGAGTCCCGTGTCCCTGCCCCACGCCCATCTCTTCCCTGCCTGGCTCCCAGGTCAGAGCCACAGGCTGGGCTCCATTTGCTATTACAATGAATTTAATCCCATGGGCACTGAGTCCTTATAAGAGAAGCCCAGTGTTTCACATAAGTGGTCTGGTCCTCTTTAAATACCATGAAATATTTAAGCTGTGTTTGAAAGAAACCTCTGCTTTTCTACTGGAAAATGTGTACCAACAGAAAATTATAATTTTCAAAATTGCAAGGGAGGGTGAAACGTCACAATTTTAGGGACAAGCATTGCCCTCCTCCCTTTCCTTTTTCAAAGTACTAGTGTCAGCCCCCAAAAAAGTGTGTACAGGGTCACCCTGCCGTCTCCAGTCACTTCCCGGCTCCTCCGAGCAGCCCTCCTGCGTGAGCGGCCAGCGTCTGCTCCAGCATTAGGTGAGAATAAAGTGAAGGATGGACCATGGCCCCTCTGACAGCCCCGGGCCTGGCTGCTATGGTCGCTGTGGAGGATGGGTGTTTGCTGAGACTGGGACCCTGGGACCTGAGAGCTAGAGCTTGCCTGGGCCACTGGGGTCCCTGCATCTTCAGGCTCTTCTCCCTGGTTCTGTGCCCAGGCTTCCTCTTGCCCTCACACTTCATCCCCTCAGTTGGCCCTTTCTCCCTCCTCCAGCCAGGCTTCCAGAAGGCCTGCCCCTCTCTCTCTCACACCCTCAGCCTGTCACCACACACACATACACACACACACTAGAAAAGGTCACTAGCAACACTTGGTCCCACCCAAAGGGTCCTTTTTGGGTGTCTCCTTGACCCCTTGGACCACCCCCTTTAAGGGACTGGCCCCTCCCTCCCAATTTCTGCTGACTTTCTGGGCTTCCCTGCTTGGCCATCTCTTTTTCTCTCTGTCCGGACATCTGCTTGTCAGGACCCCTTCACTCCCCTTCTCCCCTCTTACCAGGACACCCTCCCCTCCTCTGGCCTCCAGAGCCACCTGGTTCTGAAACACTGCCCCTGAGTTTAGTGACTCCTGGGCACCCCTTAAGACTGAACTCTGAACCTTCAACCCCAGACATGTTCCCCGCCTGCCTTCCGTCTGGGTGAGTGGGTCCTGGACCACCCAGCAGCCCATGCCTGGGAGTCCTCATTCCCCCGCACGGCCCCTCCAGGCTCAAAGTCCCATGTCATGTCTGTTTACTCCCCCACTCACATCCAAGCCACCTCCTGTCCACCACAGAGTCAGAGGACCAGACACACTGGCCACTTCTCGCACAGAACACGGGGAAATTCAAAAACTAGAGACTGGCCCAACCTCATGAAGCCATGCTGGTCACAAGCCAACCTCAAGTTTCCAACAATGGAGTCTGCATAGAACTCATCAGAAATCTCCAGGCCCCACTGCAGGCCGGCTCGGGGCCCAGGGGCCATGTTCTCCTTGTGAGGGCTCAGAGCAGAGGGGTGAGGGGGCAAGGCTGCTGTCACAGGAGAGAGACCTGGTGTGGGTGGCATCGGTGGGGGATTCAGTGAGGCTGGTTGGGCTGCAGGGCTGAGCCGGACTCTGGGCAGTGAGGGCAGGGCCCTGGGGCAGGGGAGCAGGTGGTAGGTGGGGTGGGCTGAGTCTAACAGGCTCCGTGACTTGGGGTGACTCTGGTCTTCATTCCAAGTCTGGAAGCAGGTGAGGGACACCGGTTGTGTCTTGAGGCCACTCTGGTTGAAGCACAGAGCCTGCCAGCAGAGCCTCTGCCCACACTGGGCCCACAAGGCCTCCTTTCCAGTTCCCATGGCTACATCTCAGACGGCCCAGTTGTGCACAGTGTACTTGGCCTCCTCCCAACTCCTCACATCCCAGTGACCTGCAGCAGGCCTGGGCAGACACCCTGTGCCTCCCTCCCCAGGAGCACCTGGACACACTGCACCGGGCCCTGCATGAGAGCAGGAGGCACAGCCAGGGCCTGGCCCAGAGGAGTCGGCAGCTGGAGGAGCAGGTTGCCAGCCTGGAGCACAGGTGCCAGGAGGCCGAGAGTGCACAGGGGCCCCTGCGACAGGTGAGGACCCCAGAAGGCAGGGCCCTGCATCCCTTCATGGAATCAGCCCCTGGGCATGAACAGAGGTCCAGGTGTTCAGACACCATTCAGTGCCCTGCTGACAGCAGAAATCAGAGGAGGGAGAGCACACGCAGGGATTCCCTGGTCCAGGACCCCCCGAGAGCCTGGTCCACGTAGCCTCTGTCTACCCAGGTACTTCAGAGGCAGCAGCTCAGGAAGCAGGGATTGGGGGCACCGTGCATGAAGAGGCACATCCTGCAGGGACACAGGGCCTCCCAACACCTCAAGGACTCCCACCTACAAGGGGAGCCCATGGTGCGGCATGAATGCCAGTCGCTGGTATGGGCTCTGACAGTGGTCCCTAGGAGAGGGTCAGCAGATCCCTCACCAGGGTCCCTCGCTCGGGTCAGGTGAGGCTGGGGATGTGTCCTACTGCCCTGGGGGCCTGGCAGGTCATGGCTGAGAGTCTCTGTGAGCACCCCTGGGCCACATCTAGGCAGTGGGTCTTGCCTGTCCCCCAGCACAGGGATCTAGAGTGGTATGCGGACACAGACAGAGGAGAGGCTCAGGAACACACAGCTGCCACGTGGGCACAGACATCCACACCCTGTCATCCTTCCCCTTGCAGCCCTGGCCCCAGGCAGGGCTCCAGGAAGGGCATTCAGCCTGGGCTCACCTATGCAAAGGGAACCAGGTGTCTGTCACTCATGGCTGTCCCAGGCTGTGCTGCTCAGAAGGGCTGGTGGAGGCCATGTTAAGTGGCACCCCCACAGACTTTGCAAGGGCCTCCTCGGGTCCAGTGAACCCCTGGGCTTGTCACTGTGTCACCTGCTCACTAAGACCTATAAAGACTGGCTTCCTGCTGGGGCGGGCTTGTCTGCTCTGGGCAGTGTGGCCCAAGGGCAAAAGGACCACAGAGGCCAGGCTTAGCATCACTGGTGGAAGGAGTAGCAAAGAGACAGGTGCCCCGGGCTCTCAGACCCTGAAGGAGAAAGATGCCAGGGGGGCATGTGAACACCAGAGAGGAGAGAAAAGGAAAGGTCAGGGCCAGAGACAAGGTGAAGGCTGCCACCACCTCAGGCAGGAAGGAAAGAGTTAGTTGTGTTGGGAGCAGAGGCAGAACCAGGAACAGCCATGGTCCCCACGGGTTGGAGGGTATATGTGACAGCTATGTGGACACTGACCACACGCCTCCTGAGGGAGCAGTGGGGCCCTGGTGGGGAGGGGACTGCTGGGCCTGGAGCCCCCGAGCCCCCGAGCCCCCGGGAGAGTATCTGTCCCATGTCCCAGGCAGGTCCTGTTCAGCTGAGGTGGACTCAGGGACAGGAGGGTTTTCCAGAGGGGAGTGGCCAAGTCAGTGGGGGGAAGGGACCCTGTGGATAGGATTGGGGTCTGGATGGGGGCACAGAGACCAGCAGGCCAGCACAGGCACTGACAGCCACTGGCCAGCTTGTCCACACCGGGCCACCTGCCCGCCCAGGAAGGAGGGTACAGTCACCAGGATCCTGAAGGGTGGGCCAGCGCTGAGCTGCTGAGCTGGGGAAGCGGAGGCTCCTGGGGGGCTGAGCATTAGCCTGGCTATGGCACCGCCCCGTGGGGGAGGGGAGGAACAGCTAATGAGTTCCAGGAGGTCAGCTGCGAGGGGCCGCAAACCCATAAACCCTTTATTGGTGTCTCAGGAGGGGAAGCCCGGCCGTGGCCGTTTGTTTATTTTGGACCTCATGTTTCTCTGTTTCACATGCACTGCCAGGACTGTCACTGGGATTTTAAAGAAACAGGACTTCCTTTTCAGTGGAGGGGCTGTTTTTCTCAGTCCTGAAGAAGAAGCAATCCTTGCTTTTGAACACTGACCCCATAGTCTCACCCCGAGGCTGCTCCTCTGTAGCAGGCCCCTGAGAGCCCAGACCCTGAAGGGAGGGCCGAATGGGGCTGTAGCAGGACTGGGCACAGTGGGCAGTGGACAGGCCTGGTTTGGAGAGAGGGCCTGGGCTCTGATGCTGCCCAGCTGCTGCTAGGACTGCAGGCCAGAGACCATCCCCAGCAGCACCCAAGAGGCGCGTCCGGGGTCAGGTCCTTCCTCCAAAGGGATCATCCACAGGGGCATGTGGAGCCCCACCGACCTTCCCACCAACACTGTCTGTTTCACCCTCGTTCAAATGCCAATGGCCCTGGGTGGGGCTTGGGGTCCTGGCCCAGGGCAGCGCCCTGCCCCACCAAGCCAGTGCTCAGGGGACCCAGAGCCCTTCCCAGAGATACCCACATGCTCCCCAAACAGCAGGCCACACTCCCCCAGCAGCCACTACAGGCTCTGCTCTTGCAGAGAGAGCGGGACACACTGATCAGAGAAGGGGACACAGGGGGGGCCGAGGAGCCACTGGACCAGTCCTTGAGCAGCCTGCACCTCCAAGTGGACAGGGCCCTGAGGCAGGACCAGCACCTACAGGTGAGCAGGGTCGACACAGCTCTGCATACCCCAGCCTTGGGAGTGGTCTCAGGACAGGGGGTATCCAGGTGGTGTGGGTCCCGGAAGGGCCACCCTGCCTGACTCAGGACACACATACAGGTGTGCACGCACAGGGGTGTCCGCTGGGTCACACCTGGGAGTGGTGGGACGGTCGGGTGTCTCATGAGCCAGCACCTAAACCAAAAAGGGAGGTGTGGGGGAGCACAGCTCCCCTGCATGTGTTGGGGGGATCTCCCTTTCCACCACTGGGCAGACTCTCCACCCCAGACGAGGAATTTACAAGCAGGTGGGAGGCAGCAAGATTCAGCCTATGAAGCCTGCAGAACCCCAGTCCAGACAAGCAGAAACCAGGATGCCATTAAAGCAGATGTAAGGTCCACCCTGCCGGCCTGTGGGCTGGGCTCTAGCTCAGATGAAGCCCAAATCTGCTTGCCGATCTAGACTGGGGCCCACCCCCCACCAGAGGGCAGTGGGTAACAGAGGACTGGACAGAGGAATAGTGGCCCCAAGGGCAAGCGGGCAGCAGTGAGGTGTCTAAGTTCTCACCCAGGTCCAGAGAGCGGAGCTGGAGCGGGCCCAAGCCCAGCAGCCCCAGGAGCTGGCCACCCAGCACCAACAAGACCTGGCTGTGGAGGCCAAGCCGACCCTGGGGTCCCAAGTGCTGGAGGAGCAGGTGGGGCCGGGTGGAGGGCAAAGGAGGGGAGGGGAGGGATGGGGAGAGCCCAGTGTCCTACAACACACCCCTCCAGCAGGGGTTCTCCAGACTGACACCCAGGAGCTCCAGCTCACTGAGAGGCGGAGCAGGTTTCTGGGGCAGTTGCCACCTGCTCTGCCTCTACTGCCTGCCCGTAAGGAGAGGTGGTGAGGACAGTCCCTCAGTCAGAGGTCGAGGCCTGTGAAGTGTCCAGACTGTGCCTGGCAGGTGGCAGTTGTCCTTCAGGCAGGAAGAGAGAGTGTCATGTGGGACAAGGTGGTGACAGCGTGACAGAGCCTTGGAAGTGTAGCTGTGCTGCCCCCCGACACACACACACAGGCACACACATGTATATACACCGGCAAAGACATGCCTGCCAGGGCTGGCCCACAGGCTCCAAGCTGTCAGAGACAGCTACATTACACAGATAAGGAAACTGAGACCCAGAAAGGTAAAGTGACTGCCCCGTGTTACCCCCAAGTTAGTGTCCCTGACCCACCAAGCCACGTCTGCTGAATTTATGAGCTCAGGAGAACTTATTTCCTTATCACTCTGAGTGCATTCATGGCCTGAATGAAAGGGGGTCTGTCCACTGTGGGTCCCTAGGATGGGTGGATGTACCGGATGAGGTGAGCCTGTGTGCCCCTGTATGTCTGCCGATGTTTCAGTCCCGTGCATGTCACCTCTTGGGGGAACCATGGACTGTGGCCTCCCAGTGCTTCCTGTTACAGAGCTCTGGGGAGGCCTAAGACCGTTCCTGCCCCGTTCCCAGGTGGCCAGGAAGGAGCAGCTGGACTAGGAAGTACAACGGCAGAAACATGCCCACCTCAGCCAGACCTTCCCTGCCAAAAAATGAGCCCTGCTGCCAACCCTGCCACAGTCCTGACCAGCCAGACGCAGAACCATGAATTGGAAAACCAGTGCTCATGCAGCTCAGTGTGGGCCCGGTGCCTGCAGAGGGGCTCAGGGAGCAGGCAGAGGAGCCTACACTCACCTCCAGGAGTCCCATGTCAGCAGGCATCCTCTGGCTCCCCGACCACTGAGCACCCCCACGCTGTGGCGTGGGCTTCTGCTGCACACCTCCTCCTCCAGCCACTGTCTCCACCTGGACATGCCATCGGGACAGACCCCGCCAAGCCAGTTTCCTTGGCCACAGGCTACATCCCCTGCCCTCAGCTCTGTAAACACGGGGAAACACGTGGAAAACATTTCCACCAAATGGAGCCAAAAACAGAGTGTCCTTCAAGGCCCAGTGCCCACCTCCCACGCCCAGAGGCTGTGGAACCTTCTGTATCCAGGAACCGCAGGTCTCTCACGATGGCAGGTGGCTGGAAATGACTCAGTCGGTCCCTGTGACTCACTGGCCTGAGAGGCACGGGAGCAAGAACTTAAAAGTCAGAGTTGCAGAACCTCTCTTTCCCAGTCTGTGAACCTGGACCAGGGACCCTCAGAATCCAGCCCCGTTGCTATGGAAACAAGGCAGCCATCTTCACCTATAGGCGTTTTTATTCATTTCCCCCATTTATACCAGGTCAGTGATTTATTTTCTTCTCCAAATGGCCTCTTTTGTTCTATGACACCAGCCAGCCCAGGACTCATGGCACCCAAGGTTCTTGTGAGTTCAGCTCCTCCCAGGGAACCCCTGTCATACTCTGGAGGACAAGCATGGGGGCAGGAGGGCTCCAAAGCTCCCAGAAGCCACCCCATCTCGGCCACTGTAAGCTGTGGCCCAGAGAGACGGCCGTCTGTCTCATTCAAGATGGATCTAGGCTTGTTTTCACCTGGTGGTCCTTTGGAGGGCCTGTCTGGGATTGCACAGCTGGAGACGGGCATCCCTGCCATCTCCCAAGGAGGCGGGCCATACTGGCCTCACCCACCCTCATCTGCCCGGCAAAGCTTCGGGCACAGGGTCCTGTTGACTGGAGGACAGAGCTGGGCCAGGTAGACTGAGCAAAGTGAGGCCCAGTGTTGGGCACTGGACCCGTCCTCACACAACACCCTGGAGGTGAGGTGCAGGGAGGAGGGCGGGGTAGGGGCCCATCCTGGTATACAAAGTCAAGGCAGAACTGCTGCCCTCCCCACATCGAAGGGATAGGGCAGAAAAGCGACCCGTCTCCCACCCATCCCTGCTCCCTGGAACTCGGGCCAAGGCCCTTGTGTGCTTCTCCCCTGCTATCCCACATGGAGGCCTGTGGCCTATAAGAGGCCTGGCAGGTTCCAGCATCCCTTTAGGAGTTGCCAGCCTTTCAGGGCAGTCCCAGCTCTGCTCCTCTCCAGCTGTGCAATCCCAGACAGGCTCTCTAGGCCTCGGGGACCACCTGGTCTGGGGCACCAACCTTCTCAGGTGTCAAAGGATATACCTGAGCCCACAGGGGGAGGAGGACTCATCCCCTGAGAGAGCAGGAGAGCCATGGGGACAGGGCCATCCTGAAGCACTGGGGCCAGAAAGAAGGAAGTGACACCCTAAGACAGAGAGGCAGGGGAGGATGACCAAGCACCCGAGGAGACAGGCTCCACCTCCAACACACCAGCTTTTGAGGGAGCAAAGGCCCCATCTTGGCCACAGCTGGGGAGGAAATGAGCGCAGGACCCAGGAGTGCAGCTGGGCCAGGGCAATTGGTATCTGGGCCTCTTGACATTAATATTCTCACCTGTGGATGCTAAAGTGAGGCCAGAGCGCTTCCTCTCCCAGCAAATGCACGCTCAGAGCCTGTGGGTTAGACTGTATCTGCTACTTTTAATACTCTTTTTAAAATGTTTACTTGAGCCCTGGCCAGTGTTCTCAGTGGTTAGAGCGTCGGCCCAAGCACCAAAGGCCTTGGGTTTGATTCCTGGTCAAGAGCACGTTGCTGGGTTGCAGGTTCAATCCCTGGCCCCAGTCAGGACATGTGTGGGGATGTCTCTCTCTCTTTCACTCTCTCTCTCCCACACCCCTCTCTTCCACTCTCTCAAAAAATCAATGGAAAAAATATCCTCAGGTGAAGATTAACAAAACACACAAAAAATTTTACTTGTGTTTTCCTGCATCATTAGAAAGGCCACAGAGCATACTTTTATTGGCTGCCAAGCAGGGACATACCCTGCCTCCCACATGCCTGGGTCTCCACTGTGGTTTCCCTGCCATCATGGAACACTCAGAAATGGGAATCTTTGCCCTTGAACCAGGGGATACGCAGGAGGCAGGGAGGGGCCTGTCATCACCTCAGGGCAAGGAGAGCCATATCTGAGCCCACCTGTAACCCATTTATGGCCTCTCCCTGCAGAACCTCTAGCTCAGGGGTGGGCAAACTTTTTGACTCGAGGGCCACAATGGGCTCTTAAACTGGACCGGAGGGCCGGAACAAAAGCATGGATGGAGTGTTTGTGTGAACTAATATAAATTCAAAGTAAACATCATTACATAAAAGGGTATGGTCTTTTTTTTTTTAGTTTTATTCATTTCAAACGGGCCAGATCCGGCCCGCGGGCCATAGTTTGCCCACGGCTGGTTAGAATGTAGAGTTCAGTTGGTTAGGAAAGTGCTTTTGGACACTAGGGGGTGCTATCAGAATAGTTCATTTACTCTGCGACTGTGGACAGGGCAACAACAAACATCCCAGCAGTGAATCTGCACCCATTCTGAGCATTCCTTATGATCACTAGCACAAGCCTCATCATGATGTTCAGGGGTGGGGGGTACTGTGGAGGCTCTGTCCCTCACTGCACATAGAAAGAGCCAGTGGGCCGGGGTTAGTGGGCTCAACACACTGGGCACCCTGAGCCAGGCCCTCCCACCTCTGTCTTGGTTCACCAGCGGCACCCATCTAGCCTTACAGTGTAGTGACAGCAGCCAGATCCTACCTGCCCCTCTGGGCGTTGTGACCTCCCAACCCCATTCCCAGAGCAGGTGGCGGGTTACCTGGGACAGAGTCTCTGGTTTCACCTGCATGGTAGAACCAACCGCTCTGGGGAGATCTATGCCCTGCCAGCTGCCTCTTGGAGGGAAGGAGAGAAAGTGGTGGGTGCGGGGATAACAAGCCAGCCCCTGCCACTAGCAGCCTCTCCCAGAGCACCCTCTCCCAGCCTTGCAGGGAACAGCCCCCTGGGCCAGGTGTGGACACTCACCACCTTACCCTGCAAGTCCTGGGGCATCCAGAGGCCGGCTCCAGGCTCCCCCATCTAAACTGCACACACACTCAGGCCCTAAATTAAAATGTCACAGGCCTATGGGGAGGCTCAGGTTTCCTGCCGCAGAACATGAGCCTGCTTGATAAAACCATTTTGGTTTTGATAAATGTGGACTTTCTGCGGCAGAGACAAAGGCGCCCTTGAGTCCAGAGGAGAACCTACAACGGCACATTGCTGAAAACTATTTCCTGATAATATTTTTAGCACCTGAAAAAAAAAAAACATTTTTTCTCCTTTTGCCAGCGGAGTTGTGTTTTGTGTTGTTGTTTTTGTTGTTGTTGTTTTAATGTCATGCCCAGTGGGGGTGAGGCCCTGTGTTAACCCCCAGGCCAGGCTGCAGACCAGCCCAGGGTGAAGGCCATGGAGTAAGCAGGCTCTCTGGGCCCGAGCATCTCACAAAGCTGCCCAGGAGATTCCCCGGGGCGGTGGGGTTGGGAGCCCCTGTCCTGGTGTCCTAGTGTCTCCAGCCCTTCCACAACTGCACCTCGTGGAACTATGGCATTTACGGGCCCTCACTCTCAGGGTGCTCTCAGTGTAGGGCTGGCCTCCTGAAATTTTCGAGTGGCCCTGATTGCATCCTAATGGGATCTGTGTAAACCGGTGGACTCAGAATTATCCACACACAGAGAGACCCTCCCACTAGTTCCTAAAAATCACATAAAATGTTCCTTGTTTTGACTGCAAAACAACATGCTCATTGAAGACGTTTTGGAAAATACAGAAAAACAATGACAAGTGTGAAACCTCTCAGGACCTGGTGACTGTTCTCTCTGCTTATCTTTGGGGGGGTGCACCTGTCTTCAGTGGCCGGGGGCTTGGCTGGAGTCACCAACATCAGGACTATGAGAGCAGAGAGGATGGGGGAGGAACCGAGGCCCCAAGAGTCGGGTCTTGCCCTGGGCCTGGGGACCCAGAAGTGAACAGATGCCCCCTGAGGGACAAATGCACAGTGATGTCCCAGGTCAGCAGTCCCAGAGGCAGAAAGAGGGCTGGGGTGACCACAGCTGGGGACAGAGAATCTGAATGTGGGCTCCTGAGGTCTTACTCCCACCCAGGGGCCCAGGGACACCAAACCACTTGCCAGAGGCCCCCACTGGCCAGCCGTAGGAGTCACCCAAAATTCTCTTGCTGCCTGCACCCGGCAGGAAACCTCTAGGGCAGAAACACTTTAATGCCCTGAGGTTCCCCAGGCCAGGGGTCATTCCCACATTAAACCAGATAGGAAGCCTCGCCCTGCACAGGAATCCAGTGCCCCCAGGCTCAAGGCTAGGGAGGGGTGGGGGGCAATTCAGGGCTGGCTTCTGGCTGTCCTAGAAGGATTCGTCCAGGCACCGCTCAGCCAGGGTACCCCGCCCCCCCATGACACTCTGGCAGCGGGGTGGCCGGGTTCCCTGGCCGGGCAGCAACCTGAAAGACCACGCAGAACGCCTGCCCCCCAAGTTAAGGTCTGTCCCAAAACTGCTCCGTGCACAACACTGCGGCCTCACGGAGGAGGATGGTCCCCGTCGCAGGGCGTGCGCCCGCGAAGCCCTCACTTCCCCAACACCCGGCCAGGGTGGGTACGGGAACGTGGGGGCCGCGGGGGCCGTTGGCTGGGCCTCCAAGCGGCGCAGGGCCACTAGGTGCCCCAAGTCCTAGGTCAGGGCCTCAGCGCGCGCGCCCGCGCCCGCGCTTTCCGCCGTCCTGGCGCTTTAAGAGTCGCCCTATTTGCATGGCCCCGCCCAGGCCGGTGTGCGGCCCGGCTCGGTAT